CAAACAATAAATTTCCAATATATGTTAAATTAGATCATCAGTCCAGTGACGCATATGTTTGGTTCATCAATATTTATTTTTATCTCCGTGGTTTTCTTTACAAATATTTGTTCAATTGTTTGTCGGTAGCCCTTGGTGTATCTACATATATATTTGTTTTTGTACTATGCTATATATTTATTTTAAATTTTGCTTTCAAATACTCCCTTTTGCTTTATACATCGCATACTTATTTGTTAATCACTTATGATAATTGTACTCATTTGTCACACCGACGAATACTATAGTATAAACAATGAGCAGAGGTCGACTGTCGATTGTAACATTGGCTTGATTTTGTTTTCATATTGTAAATTGTGTATTTCAAAACAAAAATCGAATATCTGTTTTTTAAAACGAGCATAATAAATCAAAAAAGTTCTTTCAAAGGGTTCACAGTATACAATCAATTTTTGGGCGATTACCCCTATTTTGTGATTGATTTTTGATGATACTTAATTTCTCTTGATATCTTTTGTTATGATCTCAATATACTTATTCACGTATTTTTACTTAAATTCAAAACAAAAAATTTGCCAAACGAATTGAAGTGTTATCTATTAATATAGGATCCTGATCGAAGTGTTGAAAACTTATTCTCGGGTGGCAATTTTAACATTTTTACATAACAAAAATATTTTTATCAATTTTGACGAGAACGATGTCATAAAGACTTTTTCATTGTTCTAAAAATCATTTATGAGTAAATATCAACAAAACACTGAAGTGCCAAGATCTGTAGCTACGTTAGCGAACACATATCAAGTCATCAGAATTTATTTCATGCACCAAAAGTCCAAGACCCATTCATTGCTTCGTACTTTTTTTAAGTTAAATAGGAAGGAAAGTTTTATTGTCTTAATTCAGACTATTTTTCAACTGGATACAAATGATCAACGTAAACATTTTTCGGTGCTCCCGAAGTATTCGTACCAAGATGGCGCACAACCTGAACACCGTATGTGTACTAGGTTAAGGTTGTTCAGGTTGCGCGTCATCTTGGTACGAATACTTCCGGAGCGCCCATTTTCAGTAAAATTATTTAAAATTGTAGAATTTTCTTATTTTGGTTCAGGATTTAGCTTCAAATATATTAGTATTTAATGTCTTTCCAATTGACGTAATCCTCTGTGTAATACCTAGTATCAACTTATTTTTAAATAAATTTTTCCGTGTATTTTCGAATTGCCAGTTTAAAAATGTGTTACCACAAGAAGAGTTGACTGTAAATGTATAAGAATTGACTGCATACGTATTTTTTTGGTTTATGTGTACCACGTTACCAATCCCACTCAATTGACGAACATCCGTTTGAAGCGAAACTTTCACAAATAGATCACAAATTAAAAAATTGTTTATTTTTTGAAAACCGCCAGTCAAAATGAAACTGAACCGTTTTAAAAGGTTTGATAGAAACCTCATGAAATTTATAGACTGATCACTATTTAAAAAATATCTTAACACGATATTATCAAACTAAAATATATCAACTGGTTAGTTGCAGGCAATGACGCCAACAAAATCTCCTTTCAAAGATAAAAACGCAAAAATTTTACAAACAAAAACAAATATAAAATCGGAATTTTATTTGAAAAAAATGTATTACAAAAGAAGAATACGCCAGCCGCCTACGCATAAGATAAAATTATGTATATAATACGACACTGTTACAATGGTAAAACATTAAGTACTGCAAACTCAAATTGAAAAAGTCAAAATCTTAAACCATAATAATGAAATACAACAATTATGAAATAAGATATTTGAGATTGTTTGCTGTGATTGTTTTTGCTCAGTCGTCACATTGCTTAAATCACCATGGTAAAAATTATTGTATTCCAAAAAATATCAAAGAATTTGTGAGTCGTAAATTAGTTAATAGTAGTCATCGATTATAGGAGTAATATATTTGTGCAGTTAATAATATCGTTTAGAATGCCATATTAAAAGATTGAAGGATAAAAAAATTCATTCAGAATTTGACGTCGGCACCCCCCACGGATGGAAAAGTGGTTAAGACGATAAATGCCGTAATGAAATCTGCACAAACTGATAATAATGAAAACCATTTGAATATCTCCTACGTCAACGAAATGGTGATTTTTATTGAGGAAGCAATGGTATGATTTTATTTTACATCTGTGTGGAACTTTTTATAAAAAATCTTCTTTAAATTATAATTTAGATAAAGAATGTTTCATCAAATTTAGTAAATGAATGTTTCCAACTGGAGAAGACGCCTCTAACATCTTTAGTAAATGTAGATAGGCTATATTCAGACGATCCAGAAAGGTACAACATTTTTCAATTTTTTTTATTGAGAAAAATTAAACGAATTATCATATACTGTATATATATATATGTTCAAGTTTTAATTTACAGAATGCTCTCACTGGCAAATGTTTAGTTTCTTCGCATCAAAGTCAAAATGTATGTATTTTAATTTTAAATATTGTCAGAAAGTCCACGTAAAACGTGATTTCAGCTTTCATTTTTACATTTTAGAGAATTCGTTTGAAATATCAACAGCAAAGGATTAATATCATCAAGACGAAAAAATTTGATGTGAAAATCGAAAACTTTATTACTGAATTTGAAAAGAATCCCGTAGCTATATGCACAGACGTTCACAGAATTATTAATGGAATACCTATATGTGCAATTTAATTGAGACTTGGATAATGTAGTGCACGGTCGGCCAACCTTTTTGGCCGAAGGGCCACATGTGATTCACTAATAATTGCACGAGCCACTAACATGTGAGTTATGTTCTAGTTTTGCTACACTGACCACTTAACATGGCATTATGTTCTAGTTTTGCTACACTGACTACAGGGTAATGAAAAAACAAACAATACCCCCACACCCAACTTTCACAATTATTAGAACAACAAGAGAGCTATGCCACCCAATGGCAATAATTTGGATGACGTCATAGCGAGAAAAAAAAGTAATAGCCTTCTGGCGAAAATTTTTATCTTTAACCACTGAAAATTTCAAAGCAATTGGTCCAGTATTCGAAGAAAAAAGCGATTTTTTAAAAATGATGTAGACAAATAATAACAATAACACGATAATTTTGAAACGATCGCTATGTCCACTAAACGTGTCCAAAAACGTGTCCAATAAAACTGTTGTTTCTCAACCATTGTTCAGTGGTTATTCCTGAAAGTTTCGCCAAAGACAAGCCGAGACGCAAAACATTGCCAACCTGAACAATATATAATATACATTCTTTAATGAATTCTGTATCTGAGTATGGCTTCGATTGATTTGCAATAACATCGTATAGAGCAGTAAAAGACCAGGTTTGTAAGCGACTATGGCACCTTTATGTATCGATATCTTCTCTCAGTTGGTTTCGATTCAAACAGGCTCGCTTGGAAGGGTTGGCAGAGCGCATTTCAGGGAAATAAACAAATCGTTTGTATCACATCTTTGTATACGACATCACTCGAAAAATAGTTTTACTCAATTTTTTCATTCAATTCTGAAAATTCAGCGCGGGCCACTTGAAATGCTTCCGCGGGCCACTGATTGGACGACCCTGATTTGGTGTATGTCATTTTTGAAATGTGTCTTCATTTTTTGCATTTTAGTTGAGGAATGTTATTTAAGTAGATTGCTATGCCAAAATCATTCGTATTTCGATATTTTGACTAGTACCTCTAGCATATAAGTAACTTATTGAAATAATATTATATAATATATATAATATGTATTTTTCAACATTTTTTCTTTATCTTGAATTTATTTTTACTCCTACTTATTCAATAATTATATTGTATGTTTTGTTTTATTGAATGACTAATACAATCTAGTAACAAATTGACTCCATAAATTTATTTTGTGCTTCTATGCAAAATGTCAATAGTGATAAGTACATGTGACGACCCTTGTTTTATCTGTTAAATGATGTCATGTGATATTGTTTCCATATTTGGTATTTCGGCGTTGGGGACACTGTCGATCTGTACTTTTGGTGTGGCCTGTTAGCGTGTGCTGTGGTTGGCAGGGTGCAGTTGTCTGAGTGTGGTTGTTTTTCGGTTGGATGTTTGGTTTTGAGTGTCTGAGGGAGTGCCTCTGGTCTCCGCTGAGTTATCGGGGATGTTTGTTTGTGGTTTTGTGACTGTTGGATTGTGATTGTTATATGTTTTTGTGCTGGACTGTGAGCTAATGTTGGGACCCTGTTGCTGTTTGCAGGCAGTGCCATTGCAGTTCATTTAGTGTTGTATTTGCAGTTTTATCATGGAATTAGCTATCATCAGTACTGTTCAAATGTTGTGCATAAATAGAATTATTTATCGTCTTTTAATATGACTGTCATAAGTTAATTTGCAACGAGTTTTGCAAATTGTAGGTAGCTAGTTTAGTGTTTTTATGGTGCATATTGCTTTCTTGCATTTCACTTCCTGGTATTGTTGTTTTTGTTGTGTGCTTTCCGTTTCTTTGGACTTTTTGGTTGCATTAACCATTTCATTGGAGGATAATTAATAAATAGAACAAAATAGTATAAATTGAAGTGAATATTGAGAGGAAACTTGACGTCATACCATATTGGAAGATATTCTGAACTTGGATAATTATTTAATAGACTGCCGGTACGCTACATACGTAATATCTTCAAAAATCCCGGAGTTGTTTGGTGAAAATCTCGATCCCAAATTCAGTCCCAGCCCGAATCTCCAGCCGCCCATAAGTTGGACAAGTATTGTCCATATGCGCCCTGCCCTAATGCGATATATCTGACCTTAATGTTCCATCCCATTGCAACAGTTCAATGGATCGATGGAGTGCCATCTCTTAGGAGACTTTCAGGATACATGCCACTTTCTATCGATAGACGCTGCCGAAATCGGCTACCTTTCCATATAGCCTAGCGCGAGTAAGTTTAACCCGTACTACTTGATTTTGACTTTTGTCCCCATATATTTGTGTATTGCTCGAGTAAAGATCCCCACGAACACATTGTAATCTGGCAACCCTACAGCCGTAGACTACCTTGCGTCGTTGTGATAAACTTGTACTGGTAATCCACTTGGTTGTTGGAACCATTCGTTTAAAAATGAGTTTTCATTCCAAACACATGCATTCTGTTGCTAATCCCGAAAAGAAGGAATCGCCATTGAATACGCATCATCCTCAGGTAGGAGCATCGTTCGTTGAAGTCACTTATGGAGGTAAGATAGCTTAATCGACCAGCATAATTTGGGCATTCATTTCAACGTTGCATATCCCATTGTGTGATTAGCATCACCCTCACATATAAACAACTTGGAAAGTAAACTAATACTTCACGATTAATAAAACTACGAATGACCTTTTATACCTATATTAGCTCAGGATTCAATAAACCTAATTTTAATTTTTCGATTTCATATCCGAAAGTCATGATTGCGTAGGCTAATTGAGTTCACCTCTCACGGTGACAAAAAGGCAATATTGTGTTTTATATTTAGGCGATAAAAGAGCTATTGTGAACACAGATTGTGCGATTGTACATCTATTACTACATCTCAGGTAAGTATGAAATGTGTGGACTCCACCTAAATTGTAAGATATACAGACTAGCCGAATGTGGCTATATTTGTGCCACTCAATATTTAAAATTGAGCATTGTCGAGTGTTTTTGAGCGTTAATGTTTTGAATAACACCCTGAAAATAACTTATTTGCATATGCTCGGATATCAACTTTTAAAATATAGCATCGTTTAAAGTTGTATTAATGTAAAATTTAAATTTTGTGTATACTGTATAGTACGATACACAATAATTCAATTAAAAAAAATTCCTCAATTGGGAAACTCATTTCTCGGCCCTAATTGAACTCTCATCAATACTGGACACATCGAATTTGAATGGCAGTGAAATTGAACAATTTTTTTTGATAGTTTGGGGAATGTGAGGGGTCGCTGCCAATGTATGCGGATGTCCGCAAATGTATATTACTTTGCAAATATCCGTGATTGCCAAATGGTAATGTCTGTGCGTTCGTATTTTAATTGTGTTCGAAATTCTGCAAATGCTAATATTTGTGAGTGTGGTACTCACAAACGAATGTAAGTTGTTTATTTAACAATGTCTTAAGTAATTCAGCAATGTAAAAACTAGGAAAACATATTTTGGCCCACCCTATATATATGCGCTATTATCTTTCAGGGCTAAATGCATAGGAGATGGATTTGCAATATCTGACAACATATGCATTGAAGGTTCACTTCTTCCGAGTAAAAAACATCAAGCTAAGACACATAAATTAGTGCAAAAGGGCAATCCACATGACGAAGATGATGACGATGAAATAGGTGATAGTTAAAGCAATTTTTAACACCCAACATTTTCAAAAAACATGACGCAAAGATTTCTGCAATGCAACTGCACTGCAACTTAAAATATTATCTTATGATATGATCTTTCTATGCTTTATTCGCAAGAATGATGAAATCGTTTTTACTTTAGGTATACAATTTTTCATCATAACCAAGTAAGAACCAGCTGCTTTGTCCTTTGTGTTATCACCATACTTTTTATTCCACCAAATCAATTCATGCACTTTACCTGAAGACTTTTCGCTCCTTTAATTAACTTCACTTTACTATAATATGCTACACTACGCACAAGAGTCGTCTTTCACTACGGAAATTTTCATTTTTACCGAATGACCTCGTAAAATTAATGACTCAAAATTTCGTGAAAACCTTCCCAGTTATTCTAGTTACCACGTTAAGACTTATTGTCAATTTTATGAACTGACGTATAAGATATGTACGTATATTAATTACTTCGTAATATCGTAATGACTCCGTCATTTTAGGCCATATGTAAAGTGATATCTATACTATACATCTCATAATATGATAGACGAATAATATCTGTAGTGAAAACGGCTCGCAATTATTGTCCAATGTCATACAATTGAACCAAAAGTGCTAATTCTGACTGTTCATCTCAGTCTTGAATGTAACTCTCAATTTATACCAGAATATTTGGATCTTCTTGATGGAGCGGCCACGCCTTTGGAGCTAAGTAATCGCGATCCACTAAGTTTTGCTACACCATATTTGAAGCATAGATCCGAATATGTACTGTGTAGCGTTAAAAGTGAGTATTTGTGATTTTTATATACACCCCTTACTAGGACTAGGACATTAAATAAATGCTCTTTTATTTCAGAAACAAAAGAAGGATACATAAAAGATGCGAATCCGTTGCTTGTGAAGCCTTCTATGGATCTTAAAAGTATGTATAATCAATTATATGTATATGGTATATACTACCTCTTTCTAGCCACGTCGCACATACGTGAAGAAGCGTGTGCTATCTTGTTTCTTGGCTGAGACATAAATGTTTTGTCCATTTCATTATCCAACCCTTTTCTGAGTGAATTATTATACTTAGTTTATGATTGTGAGTTTATTTTGACTCCATATTCAGCTCAGAAGACGATAAAATAATTGATAAAAACAAAATAAATAAAACTGATTTTTAAGTTAATTAAAACACGAACATACACACACACCCATACATACATACATACAATCGCGGAGACAAAATAAAATTAGAAGAGAGAAAAAAGCGAAACATGAGATATGTTACTTGGAAAAAAGAAAAATATACAAATAAAAAATTTTGCCTCACCTTATTAATAATTTTGTAAGAAAATTTTGTTTCTAAATTTGGTAGATAGCAATGGTTTGTTTGTACACCGCAACCAATGCGATCATTATCTCTAAACCACAACATTGTGCGGCCAAGCGGGCTTATCTTTTTTTCTATTTCTGTCATTGTTTTGTAATAGCAAGGCATCGACTTTTTGAGAACGATATTTGTTTTTACAGGGCGAATCCACACCGTGTTACGGACTATGGAAAGATTTAAATCACGGGGCGATAAACAAAGTTCACCTCCTACTAAAGTTGAGACGCGACGCAAGGGTCATAAAAAAGGGGGCAAACGGGACAAAGAATGATCTTTCAACACTCAAACAGTGACAAGTTTGCGTTTCATTTTCCTGGAATTTCACTGTTAGCGTTTTCGAAACATTTTGTAATTTTTTATTTAGTTTGTCTTTGTAATTATAACTTAAACACCATTTTTTTAATATATTTCTTATAATATATTTAATATATTTCCATTTATGGTTTGTAGTCGTAATATTACCGAAAAGAATGGGCGCGTTGCGAGCAAGATTCGAACCTGTGACAAATTCGAGTTTATATTGGGATGATTGTTGATCGAAAGGCGTAACGGAAAAGATGGGTCGCAACTTGAGCAGGATTCGAACCTATGATAAATTCGAGTATTTATACTGGGGTGATTGTTGATCAAAAGGCGGCGCGCTGCGAGCAGGATTCGAACCTGCGCGGGAATATCCCATTGGATTTCGAGTCCAACGCCTTAACCACTCGGCCATCGCAGCGACAACGGCACGTGATGTCTGTTTAGCGTATTTATTGTTCGAGGCGACTGTTACATTCTCTCAAACGCGTCATAAAATTTTACGAAAGTTATTTTTTGTTCTGAATTTTTTCCCAATCAATCTAATTTATGACACCTAAACATTAAAATACGTGCTTCCGTTGAAATTCATTTATTTAGAATAAAAGACGCAAATATAATGCTGTTTGTTCTCAACTTCGTAAATATAGTTCACGTGACAAGCTGGAATATTAGTAAACGTTATTCGTGTATTTCTGTCGCGTGAGGGTGGAGATTATGCATATTTTTTCAGTTTCGGGCCATATAATCACTATCACTTTTAGTTCAGAGTCTTGTTTTGACTAACTTTGACTTGTATGAAAAAGCATTAAAAATTAGAACACATTTATATATATATGTTTGTATTATGGTGCAACTGAAGAGAAGAGGGGTGGCAAATAACTCCGATTTAGCCAGGACAGTACCGATTTTGACGACAAGTTGTCCCGCCGTCCAAACACAACTGAAAATTCAGAACAAGGATTCATATATTCGGAATATCTATATCTGACAATGTGTGAATACGAGTGTATTCCATGCTTGAAAAATTTTGAATATTTCTTCCAGTTCCGTTTCGTGAAATATAAATCATATGTACGTCTTCTACAATTTGAATATTAATTATTAAAAAGTCGAAAAATTTTCTTGTCCTGCGATATAAAAGTACCCGGCAATATTTTACGTGACGAAACAATGTTTTTTTCATTTTTCGATCGCGTTAAATAAATATGCATATAGTATTCTAAAGACCGCCTCTAGTAAAAAGTAAAGATAAGAAAAGCAAAACGCCAAATGAGGTTCAACACAAAAATGAACAAACATGGCGTTTAGACTTGAAGAAAAAATGATGATTCTTTTCTGAATTCAAATTAAAAAATAAAGTAGTGGGAAATAATGACACCAAATCGGGGAAAATATGAGAGGGCATGACTGAGAAATTATATTATTATATTACCAACAGGAGAGCTATGCTCAAATATATGGACACTTAGAATAAATTGAAATATATTATTATCACTTCACTAAAAACCATAGGGTACCCTACGACTACGGTACGGTATCTTGCACGAATCTGAACAGTGAAACATCTACATGGCTATGGTAACTGACTTACTAATACTTGGGTACAATTAACGGTACAGGGGCTGTCATAGCTCTTCCATGTCATGTGACAATGATCTATTCCTCTCCAACCAATTTCAACGTGAATTGAAATACCAAGTATTCCGAGTCACTTCTCCATTACGATATGCGGTACGGTAACTTACCAGTGACTGATTTTCGTTCGCGGAACGGTTCCTCCTTGTAATATAGAAACTCGATACATTTCCTCTTATCAAATAAAAAAAATAAGGTAGGCTACAAAATTTATGTTGTTTACATCAGAACTGTAACGAAAAGATGAGAGCGTAATTTACAGAATTACGGTACCTTACCGGTTGCTGTACTGTGGGCCTGCTATTCGATCGTGGAACGGTTCTTCTCTGGCATAGAAAAACTCAATTCAATTTGCTATTAACAAATATGGTAGGCTAGATTCGCAAAAAAACCTACATTTGACATTACTACAATAGTAAGATCGCGAAAGGAATAAGTCAATTTCCTTGTGGTACGGTAACTGAGCAGTACCGTACCTGCAGGCTTGATCACACAACCGCTTGCAATAAGTTTCAAAACAGTGTTCCCATGAGTAAATTTTAAAACAGCGAAATTTTGAATAAAATATCAGATCTTATAGGATTTATAGAAAATTTAGAAATAAATGAAAGTAATAGCCTTCTAGAAAAAATCAAACTTCACCACTGAAAATTTCAAAGCAATTGGTCCAGTATTCGAAGAGAAAAGCGATTTTATAATGATGGTGACAAAGAATAACAACAACATAATATTGAAACGATCGTTATGTCCACTAAAGTGTCTAAAAAACAATGGACGTTTCCCCGATCTTTGACTCCAGAAAAACTCTTCCTATATTTGCCATCATTTTGATTCAAAATACCCAACACTTATGGATATGTCACACGTCATATGGAAGTAGCCTACTGATCGAAAAGTCTATAGCCCAAGCTATACCTGGACTTATTTTTGATTAATGCAATTGAATGAAAACTCTTAGGTAGACGAAATAATCACTGAATTTTTTTGATTTACACCTAAATTCAAAACTCAAACTGACAAATAGCACGCAGAACCGAAACGAGGTGATGCTTACAACCATGCCTGAAAATCTGTCCGAGCGACAAAAGTGTCTGAGCGGCTACTATAATTTCTATTGTTACTTTATTGTTGTATCTTGATGATTAGCCAATGTTAACATACAGAAGTATACAAGTCGATGCTCGGGGAAACATTCCTAAAAAATTTACCCCGAATTAAAGTAAGTCAGCAAAAATTTGGGTGAAATTTTATATGATAGGAATTTGACAAAACCATTAATTGTGTTTTATTATGTGACGATTTTTCATTTACAAACTTCGTAAAGAAAGACCTCAATTTTCATGCTTCAAAATGATATTGCTGCCAAAAAGTGTAACTTGACTCTGCATGTAAAAAAGTGGAAAATTATCTCCAACTCATTTTTAAGTGAAATTCTATTTCGTGTATTATGTATATATATGGCAAGGGTCTTTTTTATCAATAAAAAAAAACTTTGGGTGAAACATGGGGTACCATAAGAACCAGAAAAATTTTAAAAGTGAAAAACAACGACTGGTGAAAAATGATGGTAATAGACCCGTCAAGTACTGAAAGTTAAAATCGACTGGTTTATTAGTTGGGGGGGGGGGGGATTTAGTACATTTGCGAGATTATAAAACAAAATACACATAGGCCTACATAAAGTACATACATACAAAATGGGGGTTCAAAGTTTTCGGGGCGCTCCCGAAGTATGTGAACAACCTGAACCGTAACCTGGTACACATACTATGTTCAGGGTTCAGGTTGTGCGCCATCATGGTGCATATACTTCTGACATACATGGTGACATGGTGCATATATAGGTCTGTTTTCGGTACATGACTCGGTGATAACGATACGACAGTTAATGTCTTCAGAGCGATAACTTTTACTACCCACACTTAATACATAAATAAATAGAAGTTGAACGATTTTTCAAAATGACATAATTTAGCGAAAAGACTGATTTCGTGTCCAATAACGGCTCTAATTCGGGGATAATGAATCAGAGAATTTGAATCAATAGTTTAAGCCAAATTCATATCAAATATATCAAAACAATCCATAGTTCCACTTCTTAACCATTAAGTCCCTTTATCAACTCTTCTCTGTCGAAAACAACGACTAACATACCGAAAATTTATATGAAAATTGTTTCGAGCTTCTTGATGACCCGGTTTGTGGTGTCGCTAAAGAGCTGAGCCACAATACGGTAGCCAAAGTGACTATAATCACTTTGATGGTAGATTGCCACTGCAGGCGGCAGCGAGGAAGTATTTCTCAAAGTGTCTATTCACTTTGATATTTCTTATGTACCGGTAATCTCATTGAAAACAAGAGATATTTGGTAATAGCTCAAACGGGAAGTGATTAAGATAATTGGTGATTAACATTCAGACGGACGAAGACTGCTTAAAACTGTACCGGTATGATACCGATAACTTACCGGTATCGGTACGTACCGGTACGCAGAAACCTGGCAACACCGGTCTGCCAAATCAGAAATATAGAATGTTTTAATAATCCTTTATTTTAAGAAATCATTTTTGTCAGTTTGTGTCGCAGATATAGCTGTATTGAGCTTAAAGTAACAATATATTTCTGTATTTGAAATATTTTCGCAGTGTAACTGTAGTTCCTGTCATACATCAACAGGCTTATCATCCATCTGTCATCATGACAATATAAGAATTTGAGTTTTGTGGTTTACCACCCTGAAACACTTTAATACTGCCGTCAAATCATTGTGGTAAAAGTCACTACCAAGACTGCCTGAAACTGCATCGAGTATTGGGACAACTATATTGGATATACTGATATAGGCTATATTTGTCAACTGTTTTGAATAATATTATCTCTGATTTCGAAGAATGATAATGAGGAAGCTTCATAATTTTTGGATATATTTTGCTGCTTTTTCAACCAACTTTATTTTATTAACAAATGGAGAACCACAGGCCATAGGTATTACTTTCTTTTATTTCATCATATACACTGCAAGATTACAAGGAGTGCGAAGGAGTTTAATTAGTTATACCCATCGATGTTCAAAATGCAGAAATGAATCAAATGAATCTTTTGGGCCATAGTGTAAACGTTGTAACTGCTTGAATAACGCCAAACAACAATGTGAAAATACAACCCGAATTTTCATTTAAAAAAAAAAATAAAAGTCCGTCTTAGGCGAACGCAATTCCCTAAACAGCATGGGACATACCTGCTTAGTTAAAATCCGAGTGGGTTTGATTTGAACTAGACGTGTGTGCCAAGAATTTCTTTCTGCGTCATACAGACTTTCCATTTATTCCAGTCTGGATTTCATGGCCTTTTTGAACGAGAAATCGGGCGTGCAATCAGAAATTCCCGCGTGCAAATAAGAATTCCTGGCGTGCAATTATAGCTCACGACGTGCAAAACAACTGCACTCGCGTGCAACTGACTTTGACATCAGAAACCTCTCAATACATCCGCGTAAAATTACCGGTATCGGATAAAAAATACGTTGAATCAGAGAAAAAATGGACGTTTGACCTTTGACCCCAAACCTCATTTCTACAGTTTGTCGCTAATTTTGAGAGTGTTTGTGCGACTTTGGATACCGGTACTGTTCAGTACATCCGCGTAAACTTATTGGATAAAAAATACGTTGAACCAGAGCAAAATGCACATACTTTGTCATTAATTTTGGTAGTGTTTTTACGTAGAATTAATGGATAAAAAATACGTCAAATTAGAGCAAAATGGACGTTTGACCTTTGACCCCAAACATTATTTTCATACTTTGTCACTAATTTTGGGAGTGTTTGAGCAACTTTAGATACCGGTACTGTTCAGTACATTCGTGTAAAATTATTGTATGAAATATACGCTGAATCAGAGCCGTACTTGGCCATTGGTGCGGAGGCGATCTTTTCGTCCATAACTATTCTCACGGGATTCCTATTTCCTATCATTCAACACGATATAGACCTTTCCCCGAACATCGACTTCCTTGTTTACTTCGTGACATTGGCCAATCAGTAAGATGCAAAATGGACGTAACAATGAGAGGAATTTTTCGCGGGTCAAAGGTTGGGGAAAGGTCCATGGTCTTTTTGCTTCGCAAAATTTCGATCAGACCAAATCTTGCAGGCTGGTATTTGTCGACAATTGTGGAGTTATAATATTTTGGCATCTTTATATTACTGGATTATTGATTTTAAAACCATTTAAACCGATTTACATTGGTGAGCAATTGCAAATTTTCGGCGTGCAAAATTGATTTCGCTCGCGTGCATTTTTGCGGAGCGCTAGCGCCCTCGGGCGTGCACCTGCCATGGAATCCAGTCTGGCATTTATTTACATTAAAATTTCACATCACATTTTTGTTCTGCAATTATCAATTATTCTAAATTTCATCCATGGTCATGCCTTATTTTAAAATTATTTAGGTTCATGCAATTTTGAAGAAACCAGCGTTAAAACAGGAAACAATTTATGTGGATATACCCATGGAGCAATTGAAAATGATGATTTTTTTAATTGGGAACTTGAAAGTGATGGTGGCGGACATTACATGAATGTTAAAACAGAAGAACATTTCGTAGGGCAGAGAGCAAGATTGTACAGCATGGAAATTGATCATGAGGTAAACTAGGTCTATTCATAGGACTTTATAGATTACCTGCATTTAGAATATGCTGATGTAGTGGAACTGTGATATACGTCAAATAAATACTTAATAAAATATCTTACTATTATAACTTAGTTAAAAAAATGTGCGATTCACAGAAAAACATATATAATCACTTTCTTATTTACCTAATATTTTCATTCTCTGTATTCATGTACAAAAATTTTTTTTAAACATGTTTGATTTCATTTTTTCAAATTTTTGTGATTATCATTCATGTCGAGTTGTCTAGATTTGATAAATGTTGATGAATTTTGGTAGGAAACCATTATTTATATACCCCTGTATCTGTGATGTCATGTGTTGGCTATGAGCTTCTTTAGAGGGGCGAAATTTCAGCTATACTCTGTATATTTCTACAAAGTTCAAATATAAATTACCAATATGTAGAAATTGTTTTTCTCTGTGTTGTGATTGGAAATATTCTCAAAATTGTATAACGTCGATCCCAGTTAGAAAATATTCCAATAAAATTTTATCCATCTGAGTATTGAGCGAAGTGAGTGTAGCTTTGTACGAACTGCATGATAGTTTTGGGTATTGACGACTGAACTTGGTATGAATGTGTTGTAAGTTTTTCCACCAAATTGAGAGTTAATAGAAATATATTTTTTTCACTTTTCCTTTGCTACATATACAAAAATTATTTGTAAATTTTTGATTATGGTTGTCCAAACAAAGTGAATATTCAAATACATTTGAAATTGGTTATAGTAAATATGATTAATTTAGATATCAGGAATAATTCAGGAAATTTTCATTTGAATATTGTCATCTTGAGCATTTGATGTATGGCAGAAAATAAGATTTTACTTTTTACACTGTAAAAATGAGAATATCAATAATCAAAACAATGTTCATTTTAAACATTCTGCGAATCTGCATTACCAAATTTCATTTTTGTGAATTTACAATGATTTCAATTCTTTGGTAAACATATAGAATTCATATTGCGGATTCCAAAATCTATTTTAGGATGTTTTGGGATGGTAAATTATTCGATTCTTAGTAGAACACTTCATGAAATAGGTGATGTATGGTATGGACGTATGGTTCTTTCCATTTACTGTCATTCTGAGTGGGCGATAGGAAATGTGTCTATTTGGCTGTTGAGCTAATGTTTGTCTATTGTAAATATCAAGCATTAAACTAGGACATCCTTTCGAGTTCAACACTTATACCAGGATACTGTATCTTTTGTAAGTTACTAATAAAAATGCGTTACACACTTGAAATTTGTTACCCATTCATGGTCCATAGATGAGATAACACCAAAAGTAGCTTTCAAATTAAAGTAGGGTTTATTTACTTAGCCAGGTTTGGTAACTTATATTTGTTTATACAAGAATTTTAGATATGAATGCCATGTTTATAACACTTGACATGGTTATATTGGGAAATTTGTTTGTATTAAGTACAGTAAGTATCTTTTAATGTGACTATTGATTGATACATCCATACATGCCAGACATGGAAAATATTTGAACTTTTCTGGGTTTCCCGCAAACTCGTTTTATAAGTGAAAGGGTTTGTCTGAATCAGAGATAGAATATTCGAATTGATTCAAAAATAATTATATTCGATATTTCACATTCATCCAAAAATTATTAGTGTCAACAGTTGGAGTCTCACCGTGACTTGTGAGACTAGAAAACACTGATATATATGTAATATATGCAAGACCAATCAAATTACCCATTTGTCTGAAACTTTTCTGCATTTTCAAAAAAGCTACATTGAATATACATTGACTTTTGTATACTTTGTTTATAGGCCCATTACATTCGACTACAGCGAGAAACTGCCTTAAGATTGATTATAGTATTGAATAATCTATAAAGATCTATTTTAGGCAGACTTAGGGTATATTTCATCATTTCATATTTCATAATTGTGGTTTCTCTGTGGAGAAAGTGATTTTGAATGTCTAAATTCTTAAAAACAACTTTTATGACATTATCAATTTTGAATTTTAATCTCTGGACATAAGAAGTTAGTTGTTCAATTTCAAGTCTTACTGGTTGGTATTTAAAGTTGTGAACTCTTCAAAAAATAAATATCATCATCTTGCATTTAGTGTCTCGTTCAAATTGAATATTCTTTTTGCTGGTATTTTAGATAATGTTTTTAGTTCTATAGTATTTTTGGTTCAAGCTTTCATTTTATCTCTCCCAATAAATCTCGTTGTTTGAGTTTTATTATAGGAGTTCCTTTAATTTATTACTTGTAATTGATGTTACTTGTATTGTTGTCTTGATAAATAATGATCATAAAATGACTAATTTATTCTCAGCTTATACAAAAAGTAATTTATTTGTCTGGGAATTGAGGGCATTCTTTATTAAAAATAGCAGTTCACATAATTTAATAGTATAGTCTCAGAAGCAAATCAACTAATAGGCTATTCAACACATGTTAACATTAAAATTTAATTTTTTCTGCTGGAGTGGTAGTTAAATTTTTTAAAGCCTCGAGTCAGATTCTAAATTTTTTTTAACCCATACCCATATTTTTTCAACATCTGACCCAGAAGTATGAATTGATTGTAAATTTTCTACTATTCCACATTCATGATCAGCAGTAGTCATCGTTATTTGATACGAAGCTTCATGATATGCTACAAATAAGGAAGCTGATTACATTGTTATGCCATTAGAAATGTTTTAAAATGGCTTAATTTGCAAAAAAATCATTTTGAGCAATTAAACCAAAAAAAATAATTTAGTATCTGTAAAAATAGAGAGTCAGTTGAAAATGTTCAGATTTATTAAACAATTTCCTAACCCAGAGTCATATCCAGTTTTTTTTTACTACAAGTCAGGAGTTGAATTGATCGTGAATTTGCTACAACTCCACATCCATAATCAGTAGTAGTCATCAATCATCATTGTTCGATATAGAGCTTCATACTATGCTACAACTAATGAAAGCTGATGACTTTGCTATGCCATTCTTTTTTGTGAAAATTTTCATTTATTTCCAGGGTACTCACTGCTACACGTTTCAATATCACATGGAAGGTTGGAATACAGGAAACATGACAGCAGATGATGATTACAACTCACTCAACGTTTATATAACAGACACTAATACTCATGATCTACTCTTATCTCCACCTGTTTGGCAATCTACTCCAAATGAGTATGGCAGTGGCTGGACCACTGTTCAGCTTGCTTTGAGTCCAAAAGTTTACAGAGTAGTTTTTGAGGCAGATATTCAAGACATATCACCGGGAATAATTGCATTGGATAATATTGTTGTGAACACTGAAGCTTGTGGTGAGTGTAACAATGGATTATGTATGAACGCCACTAAATAAATTCATATTGGGTTTTATATTGAGTATCTTATTAAGTAAAAACAATTACCGGTAGTTTATATGCAGCAAATTGCATTGTTTTGACCATGCCCGTTGTGCTCTATTATATCGTCAATAGGAATTACGCAGACAGTTCTTAATTAGGAACTTTGTGTAGTTTTCTAGAAATATTATATAGTATCATCTGTGATGTCCAAATTGATTCAATATTAATTTTACTAGGTATTGTATAACTCAATTGTAGAAATGTTTCAAAATAGCTTAACTTGTAAAAAATCATTTTGAGCAATTGAAGTTTAACAATAAAACCAAAAACTTATATTCAGTATTTCTGAAAATAGAGAGCCAATCAAAAATTGTTTATTCTACATTTCCTAATTCTAACGAATTGAATTTACATAGGCTTATTTGTGTTCTATTCTATTCTAACATGACCCAATCTACAGTGTATTTGATATTCCATATTGATATTCTGTTCTTGATTAGAATAGCTGAATATTGGGCATATGCCATCTGTTGGTATTAGTATGGGAAAAATTTCCTATTTTCCTATTTTCTCCTATTGACGGATTTTTTGACACCAACAAATATTAATCACTATGTTAAGTTGTGCCACAGGGCATTTTAATAAAGATATCAATGAATATTGATGACATTGTAAATTTTAAATTAGTTTTTTCTGTAAACAAGTTTACATAGGTCTGTCGTTTTTGTAATTTTATTAACACTTGACCTTGCTCATGTCTGCTATTCATTGATGACATAAGTTTAGCCATATTGGATTAAATAAAATTAATTTTTTCATTTTTGTAAAATTTTTAAATGACCACTTCATATTATACATATTCTTGCAGTTTGAGCTGTCACATTTTCCACTGATCTGACTTTATGCACTCGCTCACTCAGAAGTAAAGAAGGCTGATTTCTGAGTGAATTTACAAGTGATCACTAAAGTGCGAAAACCTACTGCGTCTATGCACTATTTTTTTTACTCATTTTTCCTTATTTTGAAAATTCAGGAAAATAGGGCACACTTCCTAAAATGAGAACCGATTTCAATTTATGAAATACTCTTTTCAAGCATCTTATATTCTGAGTTTGTTTTCAAACTGTATAAATTTCTTAAATGTAATATGTGGATTTTCACTCATTGACGGTTGCAAGTTTGATTTTTCTCTAATTAAAACAAAAGCATGTAAACCATTATTTATGTGCATATCATGGCGATCGCTTTTTATGTAGTAATTGGAATTCGGAATTTTATTTATTTGAAATGTTATATAAATAAATTTCTGTTATTATGCAGCAGAACTCATGAATGACAAAGAATAATACTTGTTATAAGCAATTAATTCCCATATACTTGTATAGCCTATTTGATGTTCCGGATACAGTTTTTAATGATCTACCAAATGTAGACTCTCAGTCTCTCATAACCCATTGTGGTGTTTTTATTGAATTTTTACTCTCTCATCGGCTTATTCATTGAAGCCCTATTCAGGAAATAATTGTATTGTTAGTACCACTAATACAATGTATCAAAATTTAATGGGAGGTTCAAATTTCAATTCGTTAAAAAATTCATCTCGTCTTTATATTTGGCCACATCAAAAATGTATAATTGATCTCACTAATCAAAATTCATAGGAGAACTTACTGTATTTTTTGAGAAAAATTGAGATATAACATATACGGTACTTGTTTATATAACTTATTCAAATAAAATTTTAAATTTATTATATTTGGAAAAAGTTTTCAAACTTTTGAATATATTTCAAATGGAATCTTATTCTAAGGAGAAACATGTAGAAAACAATGTATATTCAATGAATTTGAATTTGGAAATACAAGAATGTTGATACAAACATTGATTTTATTTGCGCTCTATTTTTACAGTTTTTGGAAATAATTGAGGCTCTTCTAGTCAAAAAGTGATTTTTCAAATTAAACTAATCCTAATTATTTTTAAAATCAAGAATTTAAAATATTGATTTGAAATAATTTTGAATTGCATCCATTTTGTTTTATCATGTTTATAGGTAATTCTGTTATCAAACTAGTCATTCATTTTCATGTCCATCATTTCTCATATTTTTTATTTCAGAAAACGCTCCACATTTCTTGAGAGTAACAAACAAAGAAGTCAATGAAAATCAAGACGTTACGCTTAATTGCTTGTTATGGGGCAAAAACCTCAAGTTGTCTGAAAATTTCAGGTGTCTGATTTTCCTATATTAAATTATCTCAATTTTATTTCAAGTAGGCTAACTTAGGAAGGTTATTACGGGTGAATTGTTCTACTTACTGTTTATGTCTATTATTCGCTTGAGTAACGTTGTAGCATTTTTCAAGTTTTATTTGAATTTGACTAAACGACAACAATTTGAACATTTGGTACTTACTGAAAAAATATTTTTTAATATTATTATTATTCACTATGATATAAATTTAGCCTTATTTTGGGATGAGGACAGCGCTACTTGATATAATAAATTTAATGAGATTTAAATTGTAAGAGTGTAAATGAGAAACAATTGTTTTGATTGGCTTTTAGTTTTATAAATACCAAGCAATGGAGAAGAAAATATTTCCTCACTTATTGGTTCCAATTTAACACCTAAAATGATTATTTTTGTTTCTAACCACGAATTTGTATCAATAAATATGCGATTTGTTATAGTACACTAATTTGTAAAAAAAAAAAAGGTGCTCGGATCGACGTTGCTATATTCCATATAACGTATATTTGTCGAACTTGATATTGATTTACTGAAATAAACAAATATTGGCCTTGCTTCATGCGATCACAAATTTCATTCAGTAATTTATGTCTGAACAAATTCAGACTTTCACACACGAACGGTCAAAAAGAGACATTCAATATTGCTGTTTTTGATTCTTGGCATTTTCGGCTTGCAGTCATTGCATACATATCTACTAGCACAAAAGCAGAGAGAAAAGAGCAATAGTTAACACTCAATAGACAATAAAAGATATGACACAAATAATTCTTCTGCTACAATGGTTTTCAATTGAATAGATATTTATTAATTACATATCTGACCCAATTTTTACGTGAAGTTCAGATTGCTTATTGGAAATACTTTGATTTCACACCACATGTCAGATTTGACACACATCTGTCGTAAATTTCACGAATATTCTTTTTTCGTTTTTGTTGGAGTTAAACTCAGAATAGGAATTTACAATGAAAACACGATTCCCCATTTTTTCCGCTTGTTCGCACAGTCATAAACAAGACCTTTATCTACCAATTTACTATATTATCCTTGAATTGGTTTGAAAGGGCCTCATTTTCTGCCCTAGTTCTTGAATGCTAACAATAATAACAACTCTCTCCTTTTGTTTTTTACGCTCCAACGCACTCTCACAGAAACCAGACGCCTACGATAGAAATGCAAAGATCGAATGGCGATAGTTTTCAACCTATTTCAAAGACAAAATACAATGACCACCTGAGCTTTTCTTTTAAGTGAGTGCAATGGAATATTTTGGGTTCAAGCTATTTCTTATTACGTATAGAATTATATATGGACCATACCAGATTATCATTATTGCATTTATAATCCAATCCTATTATATATAAACACCTCAGATAACGAAAAAATTTTTTTCTTTGTTCACATAACTAAGGATAGTTCATCTTTCCTTATACACTTTGTTTATGTGGTAAGTACTTGGTTATTTGTGGTGTGGGGAAATGTCTTCTCATGTTTTTGTTCGTTTTGTTTAAAACATTGTTTGCTATATTGAGCGAAAAGCTGTATGAAATTAATTTATTTTTTCATCTCAGGATTATGGAAATTTAATAATAATAGCGAATACGGATGGCCAAATGAGTATAATTCACCAATCCAAATACTTTCTTAAATAATATTTTTGAGTATAATCTATTTTTCAACAAAATTCAAATTAATAATTCAAACAGATAGACATTATTTTGTTTGATTTTCAATTTTTCACATTTTCAAAAGATTACTGAAGTATACTTTGTGCCATCAAATTTCTGAGTGAATTTTTTTTAAATTATTCTTATTAAATTCAACAATTTACTAGTGGAATTTTGAATTGGTACAAATATTTACAATTTCTTTCAAACTACCTAAATCGATGATAACCCAAACTTAAGAGTTTTATTTTACCAATGGCACATCCTTGAATTATCTCACACTATTCAAGCAAAACTGAATTAGCATTTCTCAACTTTAATAAAAATTATTGACGAATTATATGCGATCAGGAATAAGCCATTGATATATCGAGACTATAATTTGTAATTTATGAATGGCCCATGCCTCATCTGGCATAGACGAGGCAATTCTGATTAATTGCTCAATTCAAAGATGTCATGTTTTACTATTTGTTTACTCTTCTTTTTATTACTAGGTTTACAAAATTAACAAAAGATACAGAAGGTGAATACAGATGCGTGTCAAAAACGTTACATCAGTGGGCGTGTCTAATTTTGCAAAGATTTCTGTGAAAAGTAAGCTATAGAAATGTGTTTAATATCTTCTTGGATAAAAACTGAACCTATGAATTATTTTGCTACATTGTTGTTATTCGTAAAAATCTTTTTTTTTACACAATTAATGGATTTATTTCGTTTTCAAATTTTTTATACTCAAAAAATGGAAAAGGTCCCTAAAAGGCTTTTATTTTTCGAATTTTCTCATATGTGACTACATGTCACCATAAAATTCTGCTGGTTTTTGTAAGTCACAGATTGGGTCCTCTCATAGTAGGTTAGGGTTAGGCCATAATTTTATTCTGATTTTCCCCATTTTAGTTCTATTACGAGTTCGGGGGCTGTCTGTGTTAGCTAAGTAAATATACATACCCCTGCCCATAGGTTTCAACTTATACTTCCTACCTATACTCCACATAATATAAGTCATTCGACTATTGTGGTCGTAAATTTGAGCATTTTTCTTATTTAGTACATCTGTCACCATCCGTTAGCTTACAGCTCTTACATTTTAAAACACAACAACTAGATATATATACATATATCAATAGTTGAGTTATCTTGTTATTGCACCGTTCTTTGTTATCTCTGTAAACCTGTCAGGATTTTAACATTGACTCAATGGTACTTCTGAAGGTGAAAACGAGTAGTATTTTCTATGTCTGTTTATATAATGCGTATATTTTGAATATTGATCGCAATGTTCTTCGTCCTTATGAAGGTTGATGTTCGTATAACAATTACAGTCCGGGGTTGTAGTTGATTTAAAAATTTTTTTTTATTTAATATTCCACTGCTTCTATTTCTGAATGTTTAAAGCTCATCAGCTAAATGGGTGTGTCGCTGAATTATTGCACAAAAGAAAACATTTTTAGGTTAAAAAATATTTTTGAACATATCTGAAAAATATTTCTCACTCGTATTTAAAAATGGGTCTTCTGCCCCAAAATTTATTTTGACTTTGCTACATTTTCGTCTTCTAAAAAGACAAGACAAATTTTCTGGTCACCACTATCTGCGTCATTGCTTAAACAGCGAGGAACAATTGATTGTCTTAAAGAACCATTAGGCAAAAGACTAATTATTATAGACTAATAATCATGGTTGCGAAGGCAAAACCTATTTGCAATTTTAAATGATGACCTCATTATTTAGCGGCCTGAAATTTTTCGTTACAAATTATGTACTATTTAATACGAGCCTTGCATGATAATGGAAAAATGATTTTGCTCCAACAACTTACCCTCAAATTATATATACCGAGCCTTGAAATTAGATAAAATAATTGATTACCATTCATAGTAGTATACATTCCTCAACATTTGCTGATTTGCCTAAGGCTAAATTTGAAATTTCTTAGTCAAACCTTAATTTGGTTTCCTTGAAGACCTGAAATTTCAATTTTGCGTCTTTGTGTGATTTAAAGGATCTTATTTTTTTCTATGTGATGCCGTTCGCTCCAATCAAGTCTCTGCATTTTAAGCTGCCAGTAAAATGTAAGAGATTCCCACCTAATATTGGGTGAGATGGTGGGCATTGAATTTGAACCTGAAATCTAATTAGATTATATCAACTTGGAACACTGGAAGTTCTTATAAACTCATTTTAAACAAAGTGCAAAGCCTTACAAATTAGTTGACACCTGTGTTTCTATAACTTTTCATAAAAAATTCCCATGACAAACATGACAAGCAGTTTTTAATAGTTTGAGGATCTTTTACCTAAAACAAAAAATCAAACATACATAACGAATCAAACCAATACTCCATATATGGTGCGAGGCAGTGTTCACTATTAGCGCACTTTTTTGCGAAAATTGCGAAGCACTTTCGCAACTTTTTTTAGGGACTGCGAAATAGCACTTTTTTTCCGATTTTGAAGAGAAATAGCACTTTTTTTTGATTTTGAATGGAATAAAAATTCAAAGTTGACAAATGTTTTTGTGTGCGTATTAAGTTGACAAATAAGTAACATACTAGTACTTTTGTAACTCAATTCTGCATATCATAACGATATTTACCGGAATTCTAACCTATGTGGTGAAGACATGGAAGATAAAGCTTTTGCGTTAATGGGAAAATTCTTGTTTATAATATGATTATTATACAAGCACACCGATTCCGCTTCGACCGCGAAAACGCTCGGCGGCGTCTTTGAAACCAGATGTCCGAATGCAAGGCAGTGCGTTTCTCTAAACGAGAGTGGTCATGTGACTGTCAATGACATCGATGAATTGTGACCAAAGTACACGATTTTCTAGTACTGGTTTGACAGGTCTGTGTTCTCTTCTTAGTGAATTTACTGGAGCCATTCAGAAATTTCTGATACTCGACACGACATTGTTTAGTAATGGAATGTAAACTTGGGCCATTGTTTGTTAAATTAGAAGAAACTTTTAGCAGCATCTCACAGATTTGCAAAATCGCCAAATTGACAAAATACATACGTCGTATTAACATTTAACAGCCATTTTATTGTAACCACGAATGTTAAAAGCAAATGGCGTTTCGCGGAATTTTGCGATATTCAGTATTAGCTAGTCTAGTCATTCACGATAAATCAAACTCAGACCAGGGTCAAAAATCAATCTAAACTATTTCCTCATTAATATGCGAGTAGGGGTGGGCAAAATCGAATATTTTTTCGAATTGAATATTTTTAACGAATAAGGAATATTTTTTATGCACAGCAGGAGTCTAGAACGTCGGTCGAAAAATTAGCAAGGAAGCCTTTTCTACTGGTTAATTTCGTTATAATAGCTAATTGTTTTTGTCACCGCAATCGTTTTGGCGACTATATCCTGGGTTTGGCAATCCAGGCTTACGCGTGCGTTCACATCGGCAACAGCTGTTAAGGGCATCAACGACAAATTTCAAAACCAAAATAAACATTTGCGTTGACTTGATATTACCTATCAACGTTTGTAAATTTACTGTCCCAATTTTAAGCGAATGGTATTATTATTATCGATGCCGGAATGCAAATATTTAATACGATAATTAACTTTTATAATTTTTTTATGGTGTCTGTATTAATTTACAGATAAACCTCGCAAATCTGAGATTGTGCCAATCCTGAATGTTGATTTAAAATTGTGATTAAATAATTCGGCAATAAAGGCATTTCTGCGTGGCCATAAGACGAGATGACTTTAATAAACAGCACTTCTTTAAGGATATTTTACATATGCGACTAATGCTAAAAACATTGGGCTCGAGTGCTCTGGTGCCTAATCAGGCGCTAATTGCAACTAATTCAACTCAAGTTTCAACGACTTTTTTCGTCTTCACGATATGTTATCTTTTTTATTCGGTACTGATAATGATAAATAAAAAATGTGTAATTGTTGATTGCAATTCCGGAAAACGAACGAATTTAACCGCGGTTAACCGCGCATTGGAAAGCAAAACACAATTTATTAACATTACTTTACAATGAGTTACGGGTAAGAATTAACCAGACGGCTATCGCTAACATGTAGAAACAATAAATTTGAAACGATTTTGTATAAAGCGTGTCAACATCGTTTTTGTAAATTTAGAAACGTCGATAAGTAAGACAAGTAAATAATGTATTTTATGGAACTTTCATGAGATATTGGTGAGAAATATTATTTTGACCATGTCGAAATGCCATTATTGCCGATTTATTCACGTGTTTAGTTACTATCAGTGTTTTAACCCAAAGCTGAGTTACGTAAATACTTAACACTGAGTACTCAAGAGATAACCAATTTGCGGAGTTTTTCAATTATTATTTAATACGAAAGTAACACAGACACGATCTAAAATTAAAAGCATAGAAATGTCAACTATCTGCTTCACAAATATCGCATCCCGGGGTCAGTAATAATATTATTGTTCGCTTAAACTCGGGACGGTAATTTACGAACTGATACAAATCCTACACAGAAGATAAAAATCAGAACAAAATCAATTTTCGTTGTGAATGCGCTCATTAATAGTTGTCTTTAAAATCTTCGCCGATGTGAATTCACAATTCTATCCGAAATATAAAAACCAAACTACGATGTCCGCCGTTACGTGAGAATTAATATTTGCTAGTGAATAAAAACATGCTTTAATATAGTTTAACAACACGATCGCGGCGACAAAAAATTTACTGCAGCCTTCGATTATGACAAAATTATGAAATAATCATTGAATGGCAATAAAAATTTAACTTCATTAACAATAATTTCAAGTAATAGTTTCACATTTTCATGATTTTGATCGTCGCTACATGCGAGCGTGTTTTTGTACATATAAACCATGATGACACTACTGACATCTGCGAGTTATAGATCTCTCCAAATTTAATTTTCGCGATTTTTAATGTTTCATTTCTAGATGCGGATGCCCGCTGACTACGGATAAATGGTCGATGTTTAAAAATAGGACTTCGGACCGTTGGGCAAAGAAAGGCGGGCTACACGTAACTGCGAAATTTCGCCGTGAACGACCTTACATTTTAGTTATAAACGCATTACGTCGTCGCGAATTGCAGTTTTGGTGTAATGTTTTAACTTCCCCCTAATCTCCCGTTGAAAAAATCCTGGCTGCGCCCCTGCCCGGTGATAATTCTAGCTAAAATGTTACAATTTTATTTACGGAATTTGCAAATTCACCATTTTGATAATCACGCCCTAATTATTGGTGCAAAAATACTCAAAATATCACGAATTTAATCATTTCCGATGTTACTAGGCGCAATTCATGACGGCGACAGTGTGCGTTGTTACATCGAAATTCACGATTGATTTTACGTTATACTCTTGTTCACGATTTCAACACTCCACCCGCCATGCATGGCTGAGTGGAAGGTTCACATTTTCGAAACATTACTTGGCCAAGGATGGGAGGGATCACTAACGAGCTAATTGAAAGCACATTAAAAGGATTATGACTTGTCATTTTTTTCTGGTTATAGCCTGTACATGTTATACCATGTGTGGGCTCTCGGAACGTCAATTTAACTTTTAATTTTCGACAATCAATTGTATGTGCGGCTCCTACATGAAACGGCTAATTCATGCTGCCAATATACGGAGTTTGAAATCTGGGATATTTATTTCGAATAGTCTATTTTTTTGACTCTTCTAAAATTAGGAAGCTTTGTTGGTACCTTTCTTTTACTTTTGCGCAAATATGTATTGGATTGTAAGTATGAAACGATACGAATATTTTGCCCAGTCCTATAGGCGAGGTTATGATATTAACGCAAGAATATTTGTAAGCATACTGGATGGAAATATTTGCACCAAGACTGTTTGCAGAAGTTGATTTATCGAATACACGGAAAGTATTTATTTATCATCTCACTTGCGAACATCGGGGTTTGGGCGGAATTATACGATTATGTTGTTGTTCTTAAATAATAACTTTTTCGATGAATGTTATTTTACTTTTGTGTATTAATTATGATATGTTGAGTTTTCGTTTATTTCAAATTCGAAATTGTCCGGAATACTCAAACAGGTGTAATATTGTAGTATAGTGTAATCGAGTAACCAACTTAGAAGTCTTTAGAGATGTCTAATGAACTTGATGTGTTACGGGTGTCGTAACCCCCGTTTTTTTTTATTAAATTTGATTGTTCTACCTTCCGCTTATAAAACAACATCGTTATACGGTCATCTAAGGTAACTCTCGCGACCAAATCTTTTTGTTCTGTATGGCATCACCTTAGCGCCATTTATTACCGACTGAATTTTAATTGTGATTTATGATAAGTTATTTTCTGTTAGTTGGCGCTGATAACGTGGCTAATTTCTTTATAAACATTTTTAATATGTTTAATTTTAAAATTTAAAATTTTTTTTAAATATGTTCCTTACGTCTCTGCTATAATTGACAAGCGATAGCACAAGATTCAGCAGCAAATGATAAGCAAAGCTATTTTATAATCATGGGTTGCTTAATAAAGATTTGCTAATTATGGCAGGATATAAAGAACATTGCCTGAAATATATAATCAACAGAACGATGTTTATTTTTCAGTCGACGAAAACCCTTAATAATAACGATTGCCGAAATCGCGAAAAAAATGAATACGGATTTTCGATTGTGATCAGATGACTGAGAGGGCACATGTTTTTTTCTCTGTTCAAAGCAGATATAAAACGAATACCATGTTGCCGAAAAGCGGTTACGTGTTATCTTTCTTTAGCCAATCAAAATAGTGGTAATGGTATATACAAGAGGTTTCTAAACTTTACAAATTCGGAACGCAATTAATATTAAAATTACAAGTAATGGTGCATGGAAAAACGAATTTGATTTTATTGAAATTGAAACGCACACACATAAGAGGTTTACATTTCATGCACAACTAACCGATGCTACATGTGAGATATGTGCACATGAACGATTATATATCGCGATTATTTATGTGAGAATGCGTACTTCTCTTTCAACTTTAATTTCCAGGATTTCGGCGTTCACGTGGTCGACTAAAAAAGATTTATCAAATGGATTGGTATTTCGCGTCCACTCAAAATTATTTGGGAACCACTATCATGTCATTCGTTTATTTTTTAAATTCATGTTTTTTTCAAGAATCACCCTGTTGTATTTCCTGTACCTTCGCAAAGGAAAACTCTTTGGTGTCATCATTACTATTAGTGTAATTGAAAGTGGCGTTGAGATGCGAATATTTCATACTAGGTCTGCAGCATTAGAGAGAGCGCTATTTATAAATGCTGGAAGTACATGGCATTTCTAAAAAAAATTGCAAATATATGATGTTTTCTACCCGATTTGAACTAACTGGCACGCAAACCAATGCAAGTCGATATTTGAAAATTACAGGTCTTTGAGACAGTATAATATAAATTAGGCCAAGCTAGCTCATGAAAGGGATTCCAAAGTGATCTTGCATAATATTTCGGAAAAAAATCTTCGATAGAAAGTAGGTCACTCTATCTATAAAAACAGCGGTACTTTCATGGTGATCTTGCGTTATTTCCCACAGAAAAACTGGCCAGAGAAACATGACGTTAACCAATCTCTTAAAAGGGAAGAGGGCGGACTACTTTCAAGCATATTCTTTCGGACGAGGAAGCGTGTTATACTAAAGCGATATTAGTGATGGGTCATGGGGATGTCATTTTGCCCGGTTTTGTCAAATGATCCCCCTCCCTAGCTATGGCCGGTAGTAACTAATATCTGCATGTATCAATCGGTGTCTGTTAGATGGAAGAAACAAGTTTGCAAGGCTTGTCTGTTCAGGCGGGAGTGCGCTTCGTTATTGACGCTGGTGGTTGATTGCACGAAACTTTTATTCCCGACAAGTGTGCTTATCAGGTGTCCTTTGATGAATTCGCTTGTTTTTAACAAGAGTTTAAACGAAACTCCGTTAACGGAAAGACTTCAATTCACAATATTAACGGAAGAAGCGCTTTTTCGAGTATCTATGCTGTTTGAAATGAGTTTAAACGAAAGCTAGGGCACCTAACTAGTTAAAATCAGAAAAAGCACTTTCGCACTTTTTTTTTCGACTGCGAAGCACTTTCGCACTCATAATTTCCTTAGAGTTAACACTGGTGCGAGGTATTGCAAAGAATATAAACCTATGAGCTATGACAAAGTTTAATATGGCTTACTCTATTTACAACATTTTTTTTTGAAAGTCAAGCTCGCACTGAATTTGCAACCTTGTATATGCAAGCAAAATTTAGACAAAGAATAACGGTACTGCAAGAAGTATCAAGCTATGAGCATCCTACCAAACTTTTTGTCATCTAACGATATGTAATAAACTACTATTGAAGGATCAAAATCTCTTCAGTTCGGCTTTGTATACCTTATTTATTACATTATCTGGGTGAGGTGTCGGACATGGGATTCGAACCCAAGATTTTAATCCGTAATGCCATTAATTAATTCAAACTCTCTAACCACTAGGCCACAAGAATAGGAATTATTCTAAAGATCATGCATTTCTGTAAGATGTTATATTACTTGGATTGGACTTTCTTGATAAACCAGATGCTCCTACTGTATAATCCTATGCTTTTATTTCCAAATATACACAAAACAGAGAAATATCATTTAGCACAGCAGGAAAGTCATAAATTATGTATGAATATTTTCCTATTTATTTTTGGGTTCAAGCAGTTCTGCTGTTACTGGATACTGGCATTCAATAAATCTTTGTTTAGCTTTGCATCAATTATACATCAGTTTTGAAATTGGCACTATCTGGATATTTTATTTCTGATATATTGATGTATATACTTCCTGCTTCCTGCTTGACCTTTGAACTGGACTGAATATCACAGCCATTTGCTCCGAACATGGTTTTGTAGATACAGTCAATGATATCTAGTACGGAGTACAGAGCTACTATTTTAGGAATGACCACAAGCTCTCCAGTGCGGTATTGCCCCTGCCCAATTTATTATACCCTGGGTAAGGTGTCGTGGGCTAACGCTTCAACCCCTAGGCCATCATGTCATTTCGCAAAAATTGATAAAAGCATTGGATTCCATATAACAAATTGGTGCTCCAGAAGTACGTGTACCAATATGAAGATAACTAATTTTGTTCGCCTACTTTACATCAAGTTGTGTGAAGGGACGAAATCTTATGGACAGGGAGTATATTCACTTGGCTAATACAGACCTCCCCTAACTCGTAATAGAACTAAAATGAGGAAAATCTGAATGAAATTATGGCCCAACCCTAACCTGGTACACATACTACGGATGTACCAACAAATCTATATTCAGGACGTAAATGATTGTCTGACTTTTCGAAACAACTTTTCCGAATCTCATCAATTTTTTATTTTGTTTAAAATTCCTCAAATTCTTGAGTATTGCTATGTCAGCTATTCGTAAGCAAAACCTAAGACTATCATAGTTGAATTTCTATTTTTTTACAATGTCAGAAGTAAAAAACAAGGTTGATATTTCGTAAAAAAAACTCGGAATGACAAATTTTTGCATTTGAATATTCGATTCTTTTATACCTTTCCTGTTCACAAGATTTCTAAAGAAGATTTCGTATTTCAGGATTAGCATAATTAAGACCATTGTAATGGATTCAAATTTCTTACTTATTTTTGTTTAAAATTACAGTAAAATACAATAGTATTGCTGGGTAAACATTTTATATGAATACTTTTGCTCTTATTAACCTTTATCATGTTAAGTAGCCCCAAGTTATAAAGCAATTAACCCGAAAATTGAACCCTCAGGGCCAGGCATGCTACCATCAAATTCCGAAGTGATATAACATTTTGAAAAAAATTGACAATTTTGAATGGTATTACAAAGTACTATTCCAAACACTTTATATGAAATTAAAGAAAAATCTGCAATTTGAGGGGTTGTATCATTCTCGACTGTTATTCAACTGCTATTGGGAATATTCCTGTTAGCCCCAGTTGTTAAATCCTGAACTATGAATAGTTATGCAAATACTAGTATTGAAAACCTGAAAAAATAGTGTATTCAGATATTCGAGAAAATTGTATCGCTTAAAATTCTCAAAATTTTAATTCTTCATTTAAATTTTTTTTTTCAGTTCCCCCTGTCCCACAGCGTCCACCAGATGTTATTGATCTCGGTTCAACTCATCTTAAAATTCGACTCAATGGCGAAAGTTATGTTGGTGACGATCCAGTCATTCAGACTATTCTAAACTATAGACCACTGAATGGATCGTGGTCAGGTTAGATTTTGCTTTTATAAGTTTTCTTATGATTACACTTGTTCCTTTCTTTGTAAAACATTTGCTTGATTGCTTGATTACGTTTTTTAGTACTGGCTGGCCTAAAAAATCGGAACATATTCTAGGGAGAACATATTCTTTTGTGCAAAGTGTCCTAGATTAATGAAACTTTTGGGTACAATCATACATGCACAGAACTTCAAGTGTTAAATGATTTTTCTTTATTTTCTTAGTAGTAATTAAGCATTGTATGGGTTCTATTTTTTGAGAGGGAGATATTCTTGTACGATAATATGAACATGTTCAAATTTTGAACTTGACTTTTGATTTTCATGTGTTATTTTATAATTGTATGCATTTGTTTCTAAGTATATTTTCCTGATTTCATCGCTTCTCAAAATGTTCATTTCTCATTTTTTCTTTTTTAATTATCTTTTATTTAAATTTTGCATGACTTCTCATTTTGCTTAGATGTGCATGAAATTGATGGCACCGAGTATCATTTGTGGCATCTCATGCCTGACACAAATTATGAATTGTCTGTCACATTGGTAAGACCAGGCATGGGTGGTGCCGGTATACCTGGACCTGCCTTGCATCAAAGAACCAAGTGCGGTGTTCCACTACGACCGGTTGAGAAAGTTAACCTTCGACCCATTGCCTCGTCTGAAATTGAAGTATCTTGGAAGGTAATGTTTGGAATTAAATTATGATCAAATATTGTGGAAGGTTTATATGAGCGTTTCCCAAATTATTATGAAGAAATTATGAAGATGAATTCAAATACGCGCTGTTGTGCGCCGTTCTTGGGATGCTCATTATAGAGTTGTTGCAAATCTGATCATGTTCGTAAAAATATTATTCTTTATTCATGATATCACTATTTCGAAATACGAAATGCGGCTGTGTGTGATTAAATCGCTTCAAATAAAGAAAGCCCTCATGCCTTTGCTCATGGCACTTCAGGCCCTCAGATGGAGTGAGTTCATTGCTTCCTAGTAGTGGAGGAGGCTCACCCTGATTTCCCCCAAATTTCATTTTTTGTAAATATTCAAAATATTTTATGTTGATCTTTTGTAGACATGATTCTTGATTTTTATTAAGTTTTAATTGTTTACAACATTTTTATTTGAATTATGTTATGTTCAGTATTATAATTAATTACTCAATGCCGCTTTTCTTATTTAAATATATGAATGGATTTTTTCAGAATTTTATTTTTGGTTTTTAAATTTGACATAAACATAATTGTACTTCCCAAATGGGAATTGAATTTTGAATTTGAGTGCTTGTATTATGAGAAAATATTGAAGCAGTTGAACCAACATTTCATCATCATATGCATTTCTTGTTAATTTTTTTTTATAGTATCCTGATTTCAGCGTCACGCAATGTCATTATCATTCATACATCATAAGATATAGAAAATATAATACGACTGATGAATTTCAAAAGAAAGAGATAGCGGTAAGAAATGAATGTTCAATTCCTTTTTTTTTTTTCGATTTCACACGTTTGCTCAGAACATTGCTCTGAACAAGTAGCTATTCGTATGTGCAGATCTATTGGCATGCCCTATTTTTCATCCCTGTGTACTGACCAGTGACTACTTGACTGACCAAGGGTCAAACTTTCTATATGTAGATCTATTTCTGCTTCAATCTTCATGGTTCAACAAGGCATGTTCAATTTTTACATTCTCAATAATCTTATTTGTCTGAACTGACCAGTGATCATTTGACTGACCAAAGGTCAAACTTCCTATGTGCAGAACTATTTTTATTGGAATCTTAATAATTCGAAATGGCATTCATTTTTTTTATATCCTTGCTTTGCTGGTGTGTTCAGATTGACCAGACATATTTATTTATTTCAATTTGCATTGAATGCTTACTAAAAAAAAAAAAAACAGCAGAATACTTTGTGTATTTATCATCAATTATTTTAATCAGTCCCAGACATCACTGTTGACAAATATATGTAAATTTAACTTTATTTCACATGGTTAATAGCAAATGTCAATTCAGGGTGACGTCAGTGCCGGGCTTGTCGAAGGACTCACTCCATACACTGTCTATGAAATTATGATTGAGCTTGTGAACTCTGAGGGTTCTATGGGAACTGGTCCTTACACAGCACAGACTGGAGAAGGAAGTAAGACATTTTTTATTTGTTTTTATTCGATTTTTAAATATCTCAACTGGTTGGCTGAATAACCTACTATTCCGAATAATAACTTTTTTGGATATGAAATATATATTCTAAAGAACAGATAGAAGTCATATGAGCTTGAATTTGGGAAAAGGAGTGTTGAGATAAACATGATTTGTTTGTTTCTATTTTTTTAGGAATCAAATAAAGACATTTAGACTGTCATTGCCGAAAATTTTAATGAAAATATTTATTTTATTTCTAGAATCTCGAATTTAAAAATATTGAATATACTTGATTTTGAGTTTATTCAATTACTCTGTTTGTTCCCTGAATAGGAATATTTTTTATAATTTTTTATATGATCCTTTTTCACGACATTTGCTCAGAACGAGACACCATATAAGCAGACACTGATATCTATCGATACATAAGCCAAATTTTTTGAAAGACGTAATTTTTCTGGTAATAACGTTGTATAAAAAAGGGATTTCTTTTTGAAGTACACCCAGAAAAGGAAAATTTTGCAAACATTTAGTATTATTAATTTTGATTGCAGATCCTGGACCTGTGCCTAAAGATTCGTTTGTTGTCACGGAAACAACTGAAACTACAATTTCCTTGAAGTGGGAAGAACCTGAAGTCATCAATGGAGTATTACAAAAATATGAGGTATTGCCTACATTTTTTTAAAGTAAAATGTAACTATTGGTCTAGAAAAAAATGGAACATATTCAACCGATTGTGGATTAGGGTTTTCAGCACTTAAAAGGGAAAGATGTCGCTAGAAAGGCGTTAGGTAGGCTAACAGGAAAAATTTCCAGTGCTTTCAAAAGTAGTAGTCTTTTAATTATCTCAAATAATTGTTGTAATTAATTAGGTAACCATCTAGAGCAGTGGTTCTCAAACTTTTTAGTCCGCGCCCTCTCTTTATAGAATTTGTTGAGTCTCTCGTCCCACCTCAAAAATACCTAGCTAACAATAAGCTACAAATAACAGATAGTAAGGCGAAAATATGTTTTATTCGATCTAACAAATATTTTCAATTATTTCCACACACCTTCAAAAAAATTGCCTACACACGCAACCCTTGTGGGGCGTGCGTGCCCCACTGTTTAAGAGCCACTGAAATATGAGCAGCTGATGATGACTGTTTTTTTTTCTCCTGAGTTAAAATATATGTTTTGTTATTGTAAATAATGTTTGCCTGTGCCCTATCCTGAAATGAATTTTTTTTAGGGGTTGGTCGACCTTGTTGACCTTGCAGTCTTGTCTGCCTCTTTATGATTATTGTTTATTCTTTTTACTGCAATGTGTACTTTGATGATATAAATAAATCATTATCTCTCTCCCCCTCTCTCTGCTTGTACAGAGCTGTGCTTAGAGTGAAAATGGGAATACGTTCCATAAAAAATCATATTTATTGAATCACTATTTAGAGTGAAACTGGAAAATGGCCCATAAACCTGCTTGCACACAGCCTCTTTCAGAATGACTCATCAAAACAGAGTCTAGTTCAGTGGTTCCCAAACTGGGGTCCGTGAAGCACTTTCGGAGGGTCCGCGAAACAAATCTGTAATATGACTCATAGCTCGATAATACAAAAATTAAGTGCTTAAATTTACAAATACACATTTGTCGCCTTTTTCTGCTTCGTAATCACCGTTGGAGACACTGATTCGTCACTTTCTGTTTCGATCACACTGCCTCATTGTGATGTCACATAGCTGTGTGCTTGTGATATCACAGAGAGAGTTCAATTCATGTTACCACGAGTTTACTAACTGCAGGGCTGTAGGTGTTGTTGCCCTTTTGTACGTTTACCAAATATCGGAACAGACTGGATGTCACACATGTCATAAGAGTTGCGCTTTATATTCTTTTGTTCGTTTCACTTCACGGCGCATTGATTTTTTGTTGTGATCTTTTAATGTTTTGTTTTAGTGCGCAGGGCCGGGAATCATTCAAAAAATTGCAAGGGGTCCGTCATGGAATTTTTTTCAAAAAGTTTGGGAACCACTGGTCTAGTTCGAAGTAAAGATTCAAAAATTTAATAAAAAATTTTATTTACAGGTTGAAGTTAATGCCATAAGTTCTCTTCAACCTGATTTCAAACCTCAAAGCTCTCAGCCAGATCTTTACCAAGTAAAAGCCACGGAACACAATCTTACAGTCGATAAACTTAACCCTGGTACCACCTACACCATTGTAATCAGTGCCCTGACATCAAAGGGAGAAGGTCCAGGTACATCGGTTTTAGCGTCGACTAAAATTTCAGGTACCGTTTTTTTTTATTGATTGATAGGGCTTGAGAACATGCTCCTCTGATTACCCATCTAGAGTTCACAGATTTTAATTCTGTGAGCATAATTCTGGGAGACAGATTGCTATCGCAGAGTGGTTCATGTAACTGCTGGAAGTTGTGGCTTCCTCCACCATCAAGTCTATGCATCTGGAACAAATAACTATTCTAGTTCAGTATAAGTGGAGGACCGAACTGCAGTTTGCCATATATTTAAGTCTTCCTTTGTCTCTTGTGGAATCAAAATTTATTTGAAAAACCCCAAATCGAGGCACGAAGGTCTAGTTGGGCGTGGGGCATATTGAAAATTCTATTCAAACCCCATTCCCACTACCCCACCCAGTGTGTGATGCCATACCGAGAAGATTCCTATCTTTCGAAAAAATATTTACATACAATTGCTCATACAGAGTCTTGTTTTGAGTGAAGGCATGAAAACTGTTCATAAAAAAGAAAGAATGGTAATACTATTATTAGTATGAGTTTTATTTCAAATAAAAATGTTCCTTTTTAGCCCCAAAAATGCCTATTTATCCATCACCTACTCCAGACAATGGGTCATCAAGTACTCCAACAACAATAGAAATTGAGATCAAGCCTGCTGAAGCCTATGGTGCTCCCATATCAAATTATTATATCGTTATAGAAGAGATACCAGATTCGGTAAGATTTTTTTTTCTCGCAATATTTTGGATTTAAAAATCTTCCATTAAAATATTCATATCTGAAGTGAATTTAGTCATAAGACCACTATCTATATTAAAATTCCCTATTTTTGTGTATTTTTATATTTCTTCGATCATTTGAAATCTGTGCTTTCCAGACTTTTTGATATCAGCAATCATGCATACAATCTTTAATTAAGTAATATCACTCTGTTATGGTTGGTCACAAATTGAATTTATGTTTCGAAGTTTTTTATCTCAAGTCCTTGGGCTTTTTTGACTACTTTTTCTAAATTTGCTTCAATGGAAATGCTCACAATTCGAAGTCCATTTTTCAAGTGCTCGTCTAGTCAGAACCGATCAATAGGGTTTCATGACGCTGTGTAACGTCACATGCATTGATAATAAATTGAACTCGTGTATAGCCTTTAAAACGCAAAGGGATTGTAATTGTACGTACCAGATTAAACTGAATTGAAAACTCGTTTCATGGGGTTCGCACCATTCAATATTGTAACTTCTCTGCAAGCTGCACAATTCCCGCCTAATTGATCTGACGAAACTTTACACAGAATAAAATTTGGGAAATTATTTTGCAAGATATATATTTAAAAAACTCTATATTTATATGTGTATACTTATACATTAGTCTGCAGGGGAACCGACATCTGATGAACAGAGTATGCCACGCACTAGGAATGGAAGTAAGAGAATTTATTTTCTACATTTTTTTTCTGTTTTTTTTTGTTATCTTACTAGTGTTGATGTGGGTTTCTTTGATAATGGTACTTGATTTGAAGCCTGAAGAGGTGGATAACATAATTATGTGTTGGTCGCATAGGCTACTACTGTCTTGTCCCTCGTTGCACTAGAAGGAACATTTCCAGATTTACTTTACAAAGTTAAATCTTTTTTTATATTTTAATGAGCGATATACCGTTAATACACAAAATATGTAAACCAAACAAATCCACCAGGTTGTAAGACTCTTAACACGAAACAAAAATTATATTCCACTTTTAGAATCACGTTCTGGCAGAAGACGTAAAAATGGAAAGCGGCGGCAGAAAAGACAAACAGTTGTTTCAACAGGAGATGCTAATAGCGCTTGTCATTCTAAACCGATTTCATTCGAAGAATCTAAAAGACAAAATAAAACTTTTTACTTTGGTGGAAAACTTGAACCTGAAAGCATCACAGAGGTATAATTTATTAGAAATGTCTAAACGAATTAAAAATTGTCATTTTGTGATAAAATTATTTTGTGAAAAGCTGCTTAATTGGAATCACTGTCATTATTTATGTAAAATTTACCATTTTTGCATGGGAATTTGTGGTACACTCCCGTAGTGTGTGTAGTGTACCAGGTTAGGGTTAGGCCATAATTTTATCCCGATTTTCTTCATTTTAGTTCTATTACGAGTTCGGGGACTGTCTGTTTTAGATAAGTGAATATACCCTCTGCTCATAGGCCCCCTTACACAACTTGGCGTAAAGTAGATGAACAAAATTAGTTATCTTCACATTGGTACAAACACTACTGATGCTAATAAAATCCAGAATCAAACTTTCGAAAGAGAAACATACTAACATATTATAGGGTGTCCATAAAATCCTAAAATTTTTTAAAATTGCAAAGGGAATTTATCGATACCATATATTGTTTTGGCCCTCACAGATGTATCAAAGGAAGTGAAAAATTCTTAAACAATTACTGATTAAAAACGACAAACCTGGTTAAGATACACTGAAATTGGACTTTATGGTATTAACTGAACTGGACTTTATGGTATTATGAAAATATGAAATAATGCTTTTAATCATTCAAAAAAACTAAAAACAATCTGAGTTTGATCAAGTTCAGAGATTGTAATGGGCGTTGATTAACATTCATCCGAATTTTTCGTTTGTTTTATATTAGGGCACTAAATTTGTTGTTGGAGGGGGCAGTGATTCTAACGGATTCTCTAACCCTCCACTCGACCCCAACAAGAAATACAACATCTATGTTCGAGTCGAAAGCAAGATTGGAAACGAGACTCGCGTCAATTGTGCACTGGTGGCAGTCAAAGGTAATGTTAACTTTTGTAGATTTTAGGAAATGAGATTTTTTGCTTATTATCTCTCATGTTTTGTCTGGGATTTAGAATCTTTTACTCTAAACAGACAATTAAAATAGGCTTGCATATGCAAAAGTTTTTCTGGGTCTCCAGAATTTGTACTAAAAATTTCATTCCACTAGAAGTTGAAATTTTTGTCAAGCACTGGTGGCAGTCAAAGGTAATGTTAATTTTTGTAGATTTTAGGAAATGAGATTTTTTGCTTATTATCTCTCATGTTTTGTCTGGGATTTAGAATCTTTCACTCTAAACAGACAATTAAAATAGGCTTGCATATGCAAAAGTTTTTCTGGGTCTCCAGAATTTGTACTAAAAATTTCATTCCACTAGAAGTTGAAATTTTTGTCAAACAGCTGTTTTAATAGTGTGTAGTTTGGCATCTGGTGTGAATTTACCCTCCAATGCCCTAGTTTCTACAATAAATGATATTGACAACGATTTGTACTTTTTCCAAGAAATATTCATATATATTATACTCATTTTGTCCTTTTATTCGGCATACAATTTTAATTCGTGTTAAGTTATAATTTACACAGTCTGTCAGTAATATTCTCCCACCATACATGTGACTGTATGTATATATATATAGTTCGATAAATTATAAGTGTTCATCGTATAACTTGTTTTTCAGCGAGCGTACCTCCTACCACTACAACACCAACTACTACCACACTACCACCAGTTGTAAGCGTTTCTGAAGTCGTTAAAACAGGTAGTATGTTTAATGCAATTTGGCTGTATTATTATAATAATTTGATGATTTTCTTGGATATTTCTAATGATTTTTCGATATTTGTAAAGATTGATTTTTCTAAGCTGTATAAATTGTGTTCTATTTTATTGAAAAAGCAAAAATGGCAATGAGAGAAGGAACACATGGTCTAGGTGGGACGTGGGATTGAGTTGTTCTTTGTTACTGAGTGTCATTAAATTTTGGGGGCTCCCGAAGTATGCGAACCAAGATGGCGGACATCGGAATGTAATATGTGTACTAGGTTAGGGTTAGGCCATAATTTTAGGTATAAATACTACGGGAGGCTCTTGGCTAGTCTTCAAACTGATAATAGGACTAAAATAAGGAAAATTGGAAAGAAATTATCGCCTAACCCTAACCTGTTACCCATGTTACTTCCCGATGTCCGCAATCTTGGTTCGCATACTTCGGGAGCACCAAATTTTGTTTTTATTAAGGCCATGTATGGCACCAACAAGTGTTGATTGTTTAAAGCGCACATTTATTTTCTAATCAACTCAATCAAATATTTGATTTCTTCATATTTTTAAACAACACTTCTTATATGACTTCAACTCCAAACAAGGCTCTCCACTACGCTGTTTTATTTTTAAAAGGCAGGAATTTTTCTTGTTCGGCATTACCTAACGAATTTATGGTACTCTCTTGTAGTATGTGTACCAGGTTAGGGTTTTCTGATTTTATTCTGATTTTCCTTATTTTAGTTCTATTACGACTTCAGGGACTGTCTGTGTTAGCCAAGTGAATATACCACCTGCCCATCCATAGGCTTCCGTCCCTTTACACAACTTGATGTAAAGTAGGCGAACGAAATTAGTTACCTCCATAATGGTACACAGACTTCTGGAGCACTGAATTTTTTTAAACACTGGGTGAGGTGGTGGTATGGAATTTGAACCAAAGATATATCTCAGTCAAACGCCATTCCATCGCACCCATTTTTATTACTTCCTGATTCTAGCTCCATACGACATTTTATTTCTTCCTAGATCCAGAGGTGGAGACAATTACTCCAGATGAGCCTAATCCTGATCCCCAAACTGCTATGATTACTTGGGCTTCTGTAGCTGCAGGTGTTGGACTCTTAATAATCATTGTGATCATTGTTCTATTTATGTTGTTCGTAAAAGGTGCGTACTATTTTTTAGTTCTAGGGAAATTCGCCGTAGGAAATCTCGGCGTATAAAAAAAAACCGCTACATAACCATTTTGCTGTAAAACAAGTATTTGTGATAAAAACAGTTAGGTTTTTGAAGTACCTTTTTATTTAAAAAAGATTCGTTATTCAAGAGCGTTTAACAGAGGACAAATATTCTGGTAGTACACTGTAAAAATATAAAATCAGTTTAAACCAATGTTCAGTGCAATGAAATGTATTTGACTTGGAATAATTACTCTTCTAAATTATTGAATATGAATTTAATGAAGAATTTTTTTGTTCAATTGGAATTAATTTCATTATTCATGTCTGATGTAGTGGTATTGTTGCACTAATACACATTCAACATGTGTTCGGAGCCATTCAGAACTTGACTCCTTGTTTGGCCGAAGCTCCCAGCGACTCCAGGCAGTTTAAGCCTCATCTAATTGTCTTGTGAGAATCCTTATTTTTGCTAGCAGACTTGACTTCAATTTCCACTAGTAGGATTCTAAAACTCCGACTCTGAAAATAAGTATGGAATTAAAAAAGTTGATTTATCTTTTGTTTTACTTTCTATATAGAAGGAAAAAATCGAATCATAACAATGAAGTTGTCAATCCATTCGAAGTTCGAATGATGATGACAGATGTACCAGCGACCGCTAACGGACATTCGATTCCTCGATCAGGAACTGGCGATAGACAAGCTCTCATGATGCCTGATGTCGTTGATTTTGAAAATCATGGTATGTTGCGATAAAGAGAAAGATTCTTTTTGATTTAATTTTGTAACAATAGCCTTAGTCTTACAGGGCCCGATTATTGCACCGCACATTTTTCTGATTTTTATATTTCACCGGCACACATTTACATGACACTCGGTAGAATTTGCTTAACATTATGCTGGAATTTTGGTAGTCGTGTGACTATTGGGTCCATGTAATTGAACTTGATTAAATTTAGCCACCTGGTCCGTCAGACATCTTTTATTTGTTCAGGCAGATTTGTAAGTTGCCTATTTCCTGAATTTTCCAGTTTTCAGCCTTGTCAAATTTAATTATACTTCTATCATATAAGCATAAATAAAATATTGCGATTTCCCCTAAAGTTGAGTCTTCTCTGTCAAAATTTTTTAGCGATCGACACATTTATCAAGTCAACTGGGGACATACACCTTTCGCAAAGAAGGAGGCCATCATGATTTAAATTTCAAGTTGTTTATATAGTAGCAATCTTGATTATTGAGTATTTTTGATGGTCGTTAAGATTGTATACTATTTAGTTGATGTTATGTATTTTGTATTAAAACATATATTCACTTCAGATTTCATGGAAAAGACGTTGGATGCAAGCGGTACCCATACTGGGACTTTCAGGTCTGGGTCGACCCCTCTTGTCGAAGAGAGACCCGCATTACGAGTAGACGATTTTCCACATTCACGTCAATGAAATGAATCGCCAGAATAAGTACGGATTTCATGAAGAATTTACTTCGTTTAGAGAAGGCCAAACTTCATCCTGGGATGTTGGAAAAAGGGAGGAAAACAGGGTATAATATTTAATTATTTTGTGTTTGAAACATAGTTTATCTGTTATGCAGTCATTTTTTTAACTATTATGAATTTTCCTGCTTGATTAATTAATTACAATTATATGAATTCCTTAGTCATTTTTTTCATTTTTTGTGACAATGCTGAATGAACTATCCTAATATTCCTTTTTGTCATGCTTAATTACAATTAATTATTTTTAAAATTAAATCATGAATCCTGATTAAGAAGCATTACTTTTTTTATCATTTACATTGCTGATGATGGACTGTATAATATTTCCCTGTTTATTATGCTCAATTGATTAATTTAATAATTATATCAATTATATCAAAATTATATGAATCCCTTGATAAAAGGGGTCCCTTTTATCATTTTTGTGACGATGCTAAATTAACTATCGAATTTTCCAGTTTTTCATGCTGAATATGTTGTAACTGAATGTTTTCATTTTGAACTTATAAAATTCCCTATTATGGAGTGGTCATTTGCTATCTTTTACATGGCTCCAATTATATAAATATATTTTTCATAACGTTATAAATTTTTAGACCAAAAATCGCTATGGCAACATCATGGCATATGATCATAGTCGAGTCGCGCTTCAGCCAATCAAAAGTCAGGATGATCAAATCACCACCGATTACATTAACGCAAGCTATGTACATGTAAGTTAAATTTAATAGTAAATTTAGTAAGGTATCGTGATAATCTTCCAGTACAAGAACAAGTTTGATCAAATTGGAACATAACTGTATCATGATCAAGCTTGGAACATAGTTGTATCTTACATTGTCAATATGTGTGTGACATCTTTGGTCGAGAATGACGCAGTGTTATTTTTATTTTCAAGGGTTATAAAAGTCCATCTATGTATATAGCGGCTCAAGCACCGTTACCAGATACAGTAGATGATTTCTGGTTGATGATTTGGCAAGAGAAATCACCAGTGATTGTAATGGTAAATATTTTAAATAATTTTATATGTATTTTTATACAACATATTTATAAGCTTTTCATTCTGAACAATCAGATGCAATCAGGTGAGAAGGTATAATAATTTGAACAACTGGAATCTTTCCAGCTTAGCATAGTCTAATCAATTTATTACACCCCTTGTGAGCATAGTTAAGTCTAATGCTTTAACACAGGAGTGTGCAACATGCGGCCCACAAGAAAAAATTGTGCTGCCTGTGGAGAAGTGCCAATTTTGAATGGGGTGCGGCCCGCGAAACGAGTGTTCAATTTGGTTTAATCTAGTATGTGCGAGTAATTTCAATTCCTTTGTGTTGCAAAGCCTATACCTGAGCTTGCGCGAAATGAACAACGCATGTCATAAGATCAGTAACCAAAGTTTTTGTGCCTACAACTAATAGAAAGCCTATGTTAAATAAAGGTGCGGCCCGTGGTTTCACCCAGTTATTTGTATCTGGCCTTCCTGTATTAAAGGTTGCACACCACTCAGATTGGCACTTTGCACTTTGGACAAAAAGTTAACACAATAATAAATCAAGGATTGATTAATTTCTTCTCTTAGGTGACCAACTTAGTTGAGATTGGCAAAAAGAAGTGTCATAAATATTGGCCTGAAGAAACAGCTCAATATGGATCCATCAAAGTATCACAGACTCATGTAGAAGAATTATGTGATTATACGATACGAACTTTTGTTATACAACAGGTTAGTACATTCACAGATTACTAAGATATTGTAGATTTTCAATTCTATTTTCTTTATTTACTTGTACTTTGGATCTGTATGTAGCAGTTGCCATAAGATAGTATCAGATTGATGAATAAGACATTATCTCATTGGTTCTCAAACATCTCAAGCCCTTTTTAGAATTTGTCAAGTCTCGCACCCCAACTAAAAAATAACTAGGTGACAATAAGTTAGAAAGAATGGATAGTGAGGTGAAAGTATGTCTTATTCAAAAAACACATTGAAAATATCTGGAAGGAACGTGAATAATGAAACAAAGGAAGTTTTGAAATGTAATTACCGCATATGCTCGTTCTATCGCCCGATCTTGATTAAGGCCCGTTTGAATAGCCGCCCGTGTGATCAGAACATAAAAATAAATAAGGGCTGGTGCTTGAATACCCGCCCGATGTAAAAGCTGATTTTTCAGTGGTAGAGAACAATAGGAAATAAGAAGCACTTTTGTTACAAAACTGTTGAATTTTAAGCGCCGGAAGGCGTCCAAGTACATAACAGATAGCATTGAGTACGTAACACCATGGTTCCTAAACTGGGCGTCGCGACGCCCAAGTGCGTCGTTTCAATATTGATAGGACGTCGCAAAATTTTGTTTTCGTTTGCGGATTTGTACCTGCGGTGCGTAGAAAAAGTCAAAATTTTCGTTATTCTCGTTTAAATCATACTTGGGAACTGGAAATAACAATATATTAATTATTGTAATGATCGAAAATAACAAGCGCCCGTGCTTGAATAAGTGCCGGTTTGAATAAGGGCCCGGTTAGTGAGTTGGTTGAAAAAAATATGGGCCCGGGCTACAAAACGAGCAAATACGGTATCCAAAATAAGGCAGGCAAGATCAAATCTAACAAATATATTTTTAATTAGCTTCTCGTTCCTTTGGAAAATTGTCTTTGCCACCCTCATTCGTGGGTTATTATTTCAACATTTTCATTTATATTTTCAGTATGATGGATATGATGCCAGAGAAGTAAAACAATTTCATTTCACTGCATGGCCCGATCATGGTGTGCCTACTCGTCCAACAAATATTTTGTCATTTATAAGAAGAGTGAAATCATACGAAATGCCAGGTTAATTTTACTTGACTTTTTTATTATGAATTTGTTGTTTTGAAGTTTTTGTAACCTCAAAAATCAAAAAATTGTGGTGTATGCAAGCCTTCATTAATATACTGTTTTTTTTTGAGTTTTAATAGAAAGTGTACCTTTTTTTATTATCATTGAAAGTCTGCAATTTCGACTTGAAAATAGCCTGGTAGAAGGAATTTCATGCCCAATATCTAAAAATATCTATAAAAATTGTGATAATATGAATAATAAAAAAAAGTTACAATTTTGACTAGAAATTGGTCATGTGGGACTATTTTTATGAGTAAATTTGTCACTAACCCCAAATTTTCCTGAATAGTTGAAGGTCGCACATTTTTTCAACATTCAGTCGAAATTTTTTCTGATACCTACATTGTGTCCATATGACCATAATGATCATTTGCCCTTCACGACCATATATTTAAGTTTTGTCCTCTTATGTGTTTGAATTTGAATTGAAAAATTCAACTATTTACTTTCACAGGTCAAGGCCCCAGTACTATCCATTGTAGTGCTGGGTCCGGGCGAACCGGATGTTTTATTGTCATCGACATGATGTTGGATATGGCGCGGGACGAGGGTGTCATTGACATTTACAATACTGTGACGGACTTACGTAGCAGACGTGTCAACATGGTACAAACAGAAGAACAATATATTTTTATTCACGAAGCGGTTCTGGAAGCTTTACTCTGTGGCGATACGCTCGTTGCTGCGTCAGACTTGAGACAACATTACGATGATTTAATAACTGTAGATCAACAAACTCAAATTGCACCAGTACAAGAAGAATTTGAGGTATGTAGTGAGATGAAGCGTTTGGGAATGATGAATTAGGATTTTTATATTCATTTCAGAGGAAAGGTGGTAAGAATGCGTTTTTATATTGTGAATTACGACTTAATGTATAACCAGTTGTCTTGTCTTGACATAACGGCCAGTGGTTACATGAAAAACCTCACGACGAAAAGAATTTCATCCATTCTCTCGCAAATAATTATCCTCCTCTCAAATAATTATCCTAATTTGTTCACAAATTGTCTTTATATATAATTTGATGAAATAATAAATTTTCTCTGGTTAAAGCAAATTTTGTTGAATTCTATGAAAATTTTTGGTAAAAAGCAATTATTATAATCTTTTGTTTATTTCAGACACTGAATGTCATGACGCCGAAATTAAAAGACGAGGAATGTGAAGTGGCAAGGTTACCGAGAAATCGTGAACGAAACAGATATATGGATGTCTTGCCGTCAGACAGATTAATGCCGTATCTTGTAACACCACATCCCACTGATCCTGACTCGAATTATATAAACGCCATATTTACAGATGTAAGTTCCTTTTCATTATTCGTTTATTATTATTATAGAATTCATTGTCAATTGTATTATATATAATCAACGATGGCCAAAAGGAGTCGCAGGTCATATAAGTGATCCGACCTTTGTATCAGAAGCCAGAGTTGAATCACTGAGCTAAGACTCACTGGCAGTGAGTTGAGTATGAATCTGAGTCATTTCATATAGATTACTCAAACACTTTGAGTTTTCGATAAATGGTTACTCTAGTCGAGTGAATGACTCAAGTCTTCCCGACATTGAGATCAAATACTTTAGTGTCACTGGCAGAAGATTGTTTGAGTATAAGTCTGAGTCTTTTCATGTAGATTACTCGAACACTTGAGTTCTAGATAAATGGTGACTCTAGTTGAGTGAATGACTCAAGTCTTATTGAAACTGAGATCAAATACTTAACTATTCCAAATACGTTCTGAAATATTGGTTTTTATCAAATATATTTCATAAATTGGTTCATTTTCAAATCGAGACAAATCTTTGGTATTTATAAATTCAGTAATACAGATTAAATATCCTGTCTATGTTAATATACAAGCATAGCATGGTTGGATAAACACATTGTTTCATTTAATTTTGATTTTTTACTCTAAGCCAGTGGTTCCCAAACTGGGGCTCGCGTAACGATTTAATATGGCCCACCAAACTTAAGTGAAATAGTTTATCACTTTATGTTTTTTCTTTTTGTGTTCTATATACTGCAAAGTGTTACTTCATTGTCACATTTCGAGCATGTTTATATTCAAACAAATTCAGTTCAGTATCTTAATTATATGTACCGGTACCAGCATCGACACCTTGCTGAATCTCCCCCCTCCTGGCCCGCAAATACCTTCAGCTTCTAAGTTTGGCCCTCGTTCAATCAACTTTAGGAATTACTGCTCTAAGTCATACAAGCATCACAAGTTAAGAAATCAGTTTAAATTCTGTGCCCACTGTCTCACCCTAGGATTAAATAAATTGGGCAGACAATGCCGAATTGAAAAGATTGTCATTTTCGAACAATAGTAGATTCTTTTGTTGCTGTGGACATATGTAAAGAGCCTTGTTCAGAGTGGAAGACATATGAAACATCGTATTAAAAAATATATTCTTTTTGGATTTTATTCATCTTCATTTGAATTTTTTTTTTTTCAGAGTTACGCAAAAAGAAACGCCTTCATTGTGACCCAAACTCCCCTGCCAAACACAGTCATTGATTTCTGGAGATTGGTTTATGACTATAATTGTACTTCTGTTATTATGATGGATGATCTCGGAGGACAAGAACCAGTAAGTTACCGTCAATTTTTTTTTATTCAGATGTTGAATTTGTGTACTTATTCCATGTTTTCCCACTTGTCCCACTTGACATAATGTGGGGCAAATGGTTAAAGCATATGAAGTGGGATTCATGTTATGTTCTGGGTGAGGACTAGAATATTCTTATGAAGTAAGGATCATGCAGGTCACAGCATTTTTAAGACACCCACCGAGTATAACCTTTGACACTTTAACTCGGAATCACCCTCAAAATCAGAGACAATTTGAAATTTGGTAAAATTTATTTTGAAAAAGATTTTTGAAGAATTTTTTTCATCGTACAATGGTGTTATTGCACTGTTCAGGGGCAAATACTAAAACTTTTTCATTTTCGTTATTTAAACAGACTTGCTGTCAATATTGGCCAGACAACGGAACTGCTGTATTCGGATCTTTTACTGTTGAATTAAGTCAAATAGAAGATGAAGTTGATTTTACGACGAGAATATTGAAAATACAGAATATGAATAGAGTAAGTCATAATAATATCCTCTATCTATCTAGAGATTATTCCCATGATAAGAAGATCAGGACTTTTTATTGTAATGTTGAATACATCTTTGAACAAAACTCTGTACACACTTTTTGGCTAATAAGTCTACCTGCAAATAACATGAGGCCAATATTTAGCACTAATATTTATTTATTTTTTTTCCAAATTACTGCCAAACATGTCAGGGCTCAACAATCGTTTCTCCGTTTGTCAGTTAAGCACCAATATGCGCTCAAAATTTTATATGATTAGAACTCAGTCATGTTTGTTACAGTAGAATCATCTACTCAGAATTAACTATTCTACCCAGCAAAGCCATAAATTAGTGTTAAAAAGGTAGCAACGATCATTTTGAACAACCCATTAACTAGAACGTTGAAATAACTTCTGAATATGATTTGATAAGTACTGCACTGTATGTCCATGGGTTAATCAACTGCTACTAGCTACAAATCTGCCTATATTTTTGAAGGACCTAATTCTTTTTGATCTGGCTTCTTCGCCTAATTTATTACACCCTGAGTGACCATAGGATTTGAATCAAAGATTTTTGACATACGATGCCAATATAGTCCAAAGCTTCAAACGCTAGGCCATTGCATCCATAAATTGAAGTTTCTCAAATTTTCAGCCAAATGAAGCTCCAAGAATGGTTAAACAGTTCCAACTGACCAATTGGCCAGAGAACCAGCCAGTGCCATATACAAGAAATGCTGTGTTGAGGGTGATTCAACTGGTAACAAAATGGCAAACAGAAAACAATACTCCTATTGCTTCTACGAAAGATGAAGGAAGAATGCTGGTTCATTGTCTGTGAGTTAACTGTTTTTTTTTTAATCTCAATTCTCAATCCTTGTTATTGATTAATGCGAAAACCATTTTGGTGCAAAATAAATTTGTTTTAGTAAACAATTTTTTTTTTTTTCAATTTTTAAATTTTCAGTCGTAAAATTTGCTGAAATACTAGACTGTCAAGTCGCTGGAAAATATATGCTTGAATCCAAATCTTTAGCCGTTACAAAACAGCTCCAACTTTTGACTTTGAAAGAACAAAAATTTTGTAGGAACTAGGGCTTGGCACGTTGAATCGAATATTCAAAATGATCCGAATAGTGAATAGTGAACGAATTTCGAATCGCCACCGTCTTTTTTTTTTCCTGCCAATGGTCGAGGTGAATTACCCAATTTTTTTTTATTGAAGGAATATTTTTCTATGCAATTCTGACATTATGACTATTTTCTATAGTGAGTTTTTGACAAATGAGTGTTTTTATTGTGTGTGAACCCTCTGTAATTTGCCTCGTGATGTATTCTATGCTTTCAGTAATTCATTTGTTGACAGGACCAATTATAATAAAAAAGTCTTATACAATTACTTATCTCTCATTGACTCCTAAGTATTCGAGCTTCGATTCGAAAAAAATATTTGATTCGATTCTGAAATCATAAGATATTCGAAATTTCCCAGTCCTAGTGGGAACCCAAACCAAATTATTCATGACGAAAACTATGGTATATGCGAGCCTTTTTTAATTGTCTGTTGAGATGCCTAGCCAACTTTGTTTTCTGAGTTTCTGTCAGAAAATTTGACTCTATCAACCTTTGAAATTTTGACTTTCCACCTGTAGGAAAGGTTTTAAAAATTTGACTTGAAATCAAGTTTCATTGAAAACTTTACTCCACAGCACTAATATTTTGTTACCTGTCCCAATATGTAAATTTCTTGCCTTGTCCATTAGATATATTTTTGTTTCAAATTTACACTCGTTAAATATCCTTAAATTTTTTTTTATTTACAGAGCCGGCGCTGGAAGGAGCGGTACATTCGTAGCATGTTATAATATGTGCATGCAATTACGACAAGAATTTGCAGTCGATGTTTTTAATATTGTTCAACGATTAAGAAACATTCGTCCGCAGCTTGTTGAAACACTGGTATGTAGTTTTACTCTGAGACAAAAGATTATTTGGGTAAAAAATGGCGTCTGATCTGATTCAATCATTGGAATACCAAGTCATAAGTCACATATGGACCAGCCTTGGTCAGGTGTAGGAATATTTACCTAGTCGAATGCACTACATGCATGCGCCTGAATGGTGTAGAAAGATGTGAACGATCATTGATACATATACTTGACCACAGCAAAAAAGACCAGAAATTTCCGTGGTTATAAATAATCTGCGAAGGATTCAAACCATATCAGAGTATGCAATAGTGTGGTGACAAGTATATTGTGATGCTTGGCAAAATGTGCTGACTATTTAGCTGCTACCTTGGTAGATATTTGGGCGCTCCAGAAATATGTGACCAATATGTAGGTAACTAATTTTGTTCGCCTATTTTACATCAAGTTGTTTGAAGGGACTGGAACCTATGGGCAGGGGGTATTTTCACTTGGCTAACACAGACAGTCCCCGAACTCGTAATAGAACTAAAATAGGAAAAATCATAGGCTTGGCGAGGCTTGTGAATATTAGATAAATAGATACAAGATTATGTATGGAATAAATATTAGACGAAAAGTATTGGATCAAAGAAAATTGAGAAGTAGTGTTATAATAATTACGATAGTCTCCTAAAAATAATCACTTTCAATTTTTTTTCCCATAAATACTGTGATATTTAAAATTTTGGTATATCCATAAAATTTCTGATTTAAAATTTTTTCTTTCAGGAACAATACAGATTCTGTTATGAAGTCGGATGGGATTTCGCTGACCAGTGATCTACTTTTAAAAACTGCCACTGCATGGCCATGACAAAATTAAGTTCGGCCAAATATACGCTATTGATATATCAAGCTTGACCAGAAGTAGTTCATTGGGTTCTTTGTGGAGAAACAAGCCACCATCATCACTCAAATTCAAATACAACTCACTCCAATCAGTAACTTTATTAGACGAGACCCCCCGACTAAAACATTTTTTTCATTTTTAATCATTTTTTGCTTTTTTGGTGCTTTAATTTGCAGTTTCTTTATTTTCTCTTATTAATATTATTATCTGATGCTGTTAAATCATCAATTTTTCATGATTTTTTTTTCTAATTTTTTTTGTTGTAAAAACGTCTCACATCATGTTTAGGGTTGGCTTTGGATGAACTACCGGTAGTACTTTTGTACTTTTGATGCATGTAATGCAGAAAGTATAATAATTTAAAATTATTATTAAAAACTGGTAGTATGGACTTCTATCGTCTTTCCTATTGTATGTAATGCAAAAGAATATCCAATTATGTGTGTATGATAGAAAATGATAATTGTTTTGAGAATTGATTTTATTACATCTGTGAAATTTTTCTAAGTGAAATTGATACGTTAAAAATTTCAAAATTGGATTTAATATTCACTTGAAATTTTAGTTACTAATTGTTCGATCATCTGCGCTCATTTCATTTTGATGATTTTTTAAAAATTCGTTATGGAGTTCACAAATATACTGGATTATGTAGGTAATTATAATAACTATGCGTTTCTGGAAAATCTATGCTGAAATAGAAAATTTAACCCATTAAGCAGATTTTTTTGACCTTTGACGGCAGTCAACTAAAGAATGTGATAACCCGACCAAGCTTCCATTTATAGTTATCGTAAATGCTGATCCGTCCTAGCTTTTTTCAATATTATTTTATGTTTACTTGAATCAAATAATCAATAATGGATTTCTAAATGAAATTGGTTTACATTATAACTTAATACTTCCAAAATGAGAGCAGAGCGTTCCTACGATCTCAGTTCATTTGAATACTGTGAAATACCAGTGGTTTTACTACCTTTTTTCATTTAAAATTTTATTAAAAATAAATGAATTTGAATAAAATTTGTGATTAAAATATTGTAATTTTTCCAATTTAATGAACATTCAAATCCGCGCCTAAAGATTTTGCTCAGATTCATTGGTTACGTAGATTCATAAGTTCTTAATGGAGCGCTGATACTAGTCACCATGTTATTCATTGTGCTCTATTTTTCTTTTTTTGAATATTCGCATCTTTCTTTAAATTTAACGCATTTTCTGTACCTCTTTTAATTCGTAATTTGCTTTTAATTTAATTTTTGGTGCTAATCTGAAAGTCAAACCGCTGCACTATATTAATTTTAGTTTTTTTTTTTTGTGTAAACGTTTTTGTGATTTTTCAAAGTAGTAATTCTTAAGGTTTTTACGCTTTAAAAAAAAATGTATGTGAACTTTCATGCATTTTAAAGTAGATACCATAAAGCATGGATGGAAAGAAAATTTGTTACGATAATTCATGAAACTTTTTGTGTGAAATATCATTATGAAATTTCCATTAAAAATTGGACTATATTATGTATTTTGCCTAGATATTTTAATTTGTGCTATCCTGATAGTATTCAGGGATTCTCAAAACAAATCGAATTTTTGAAGTGTTCGAAAATAGTTATATTTGATATGGTTAATTTATGATTTCAGCAGCAAGTTTTCATCATAATATTTTGATAAAAAAAATTATCATTTTGAGATATTGAAAACCTAACAGTCAGACTGAATAGACTTGAAATAAATTCTGATGAAGGCAGGGAAGAAAAATTTATGTAAATTCCACCGCACAATTATTTTCATTTGAAATATTTTACATATTCGAAAAAAAGTTTTCTAATTGTCTTCGCAAGAGTGATTTATGCGATGTTGGGTATTTCTGATATCATCCAGAATATTTTTGGTCAATGACAACATTTTTACTGATGCAAAACTTAAATTGTGCACTTAAATTGAACTGATATATATATATGGCACTTTTGTATGTGACCAATCTGTTTTTAAATGGACCAAATTTATTATTTTTGATAGTCATCTAAATATTGTTGCCAAATTTGGAACAAAAAAATGAATTTCATTGCCTTTTTAATGGCTTATATTTGTGCACAATAACATTCTATAGAACGTTTTTGCACTATTGCTAAATGTAATGTTCAATTTTTATTGAAACCTTTCCTCGAAAATATTCATCTGAACTGATTTGATATTTGTACGTTTCATATAGAATATCGTTCATTGTTACTTTTTATCCCGTAAAAAGACGAAAAACATTTACAGTTACATTATTGATTCATGTAACATCTTAAATTAAATTCGTAAATTTAGTTTTCGTGTACAAATTTTAAAATTGGTATCAACTAAATTAAATATCGATAAAATGATATATTTATTTGTAGAACATATTCAATATTAGATTTATGGTCAAAAGCATTTTAAATCTTATTTCCAGCACAATTCTTTGTATATCTTGCTCAAGTGGTCGAGTTCAAATATAATGAGCTTTTGCACTATGATTTGTTTGTTTCACTCGTATATATGTAGTTTGGCACTAATTTATGTTTATTGTTCTCTTACTGTTTGGTTGAAAGACAAATACCCCAACCTGACAATCTTGAAATGTGGGGGGGTTATCTTTTCTTATTAGCTGAATGTAATTTTTTTTTCAGTAATGTCACATATTTGTTGCTGTTTTGTTGCAATTTTTAGTAAATAGTAATAAACTTACTACTGAGAAGTCAATTTAATGCTTTTTGACGGACCTACATGGGGGTTATGAATTGCAAATGCGCTTGTCAAGTCTATAGAATTTAAGCTGACCAATGCGAAGTGATGCATGCATATTAGAAAATACGAATATGGTAACGAAAAAAAACAAGGAAACATCAGACGAAAGAGATTTCGCCTCGTATTGATGTCAAATCAAAGAACTTGAATTCTTCGGATATTCTGGGATGAAAATTGTAAGTCTATATATCTTGAATAATATGCTTATTTCGATGTCAAGCAGGAGAATAGTAAGCACTAAATAAATGTTTTAGTTATTTATGACGTCGTTTGGGCCAGATTAATTATCTCATTGCAATACTGTGCACTTCTCGGATTCTATGATTGTCCCAATATTTAGAAGATATACGAATCAAACACGATAATTGTCTGTGAAGCGAGGGACAGCGATAAAGGCCCACCGGTACGGTACGTTAACCTTAGTGAGTTGAGCTGAGCAGGATTACGGAGGGTAAAATGGGGCCACAAGCCCACTATCAAAATTGACCCACCAGTACCACCTTCTAATAGCTTTTTGTCTGAAAAATGGGTAGTACAACATTCACAAATACATATATCTTAATTTTTGACAAAAATTGATCAATGTTTAGAGCCAGCAAGGGTTCTCAACCTGGGGTTCACAAGAAGATTTTCAGGGGTACTTGGATGACAGTCGAGTTTTAGTGTGTTGTTTTTTTTTAATATCCTTCAACAAAGAAAGTAACTACAAGAGGAAAATAAGTGCCAATTGAAACTCAGCGTACATTTTTCCTGATCTTGCATTGTTGTGATTGTGACGCAACAATGTGAAATGCGCGGCTTGGCAGTCGTTGCAGCAAATCGTTAGTCAATATATCACAATTTAGTTTGGTGTCTGATTACTGGGGGCTCGCGTTGATTGCTTTGTGACTCGGGGGGGTACTTAACAGAGAAAAGGTTGAGAACCCCTGGTTTAGAGGATTATGAGAGACGTAAGTTGTATAGTTGAGTCAAATAAGGCTCTAAGAACCGCGATTAAGAATCACTGCTCTAAGCTATTTTATACAATGAGTCAGGAGTGCGGTCTTCTCAAATTTAGAAGTCTAAAAGCAAGCCGTTGGAGGCTATAAATTTCATTACAACTTATACAAATTCTTAAATTTATTTTTCGAATAGGACAAGAGTATGGAGAAATACACAATACGTATGGGAGGCATGTACAAAATTGCAGCACGATGCAATAGACACAAAATTTTAAATCAAAAACAAAATTTTAGAAAAAAATCTATTCATAAGAAATGAAAAAGGCCAAATAGATAGTACAATAATTTTAACAATTACGATAATTTTAACAATTACGAGAGACAAGGTAAAAATTTTTAATCCAATCAAGCAATGACAATAAATCAACCTCCACATCTGAAAAGCATGGTAATTTGACATATTATTTCTGCGAAATGGAACATTTTTGAGATAGAGTCGGATCTAGCAACAGAGGATTTTTGAAGCAGGTTAATTTAGGAATAACCAATGGCAAACGGACAATAGATGATAAAAAAATTATATTAAAATACAAAAAAATAATATAAGTTAGCAGTGACCAGAAATGAACATTTTTATAACATATTTTACAATTTGCTCTGAACAAAACCCTAAACAAACAGCAGCTTGGAAATAGAAAGCTTACTTGGGATGACAAGACCCCGAATATTCCCAAATTCTCATGATTGAAATCATGATGTTGACAATATTCAAGATTTTCATATTAATCATGAAAGAGAGAAATGCTGGTTTAATCATATGTCATCTGGTTATCCATCCATGTCAGGTATGGGAATAATTATCCAGCTTTTTCTTTCGGATGCATGGACTTGACTCAGGATTTATTCTAATCAAATACCTAGTCTAGTAATATTAACCGTCTTACCCAAACCTATAAATATCTGCTTACGGTATTTATGTAACCATGGCTGTGTAGTACTAATTCACCCCTCTATTTTTATAAGTCTTCAATTTTTACCAAAATTTTGCTTTTTGGGGTCTAGTATAGTTTAGTACTTCCAGTGGGCGAAGCAGAACGAATTTCAGATATGTTATTCCTAACCCCCACCTGACTATGTCATCCAAAAGTTACGTCACTACGACGTCACAATCACGTCATAGCGCTTGCCAAATTATAGCTACAATCACCCGAAACGATATTTGCGCCGCCGATGATGAACTTATTAACGACAGCGATCTCTCATATCGGGATCGTTGCGACGAGAAACGAGAGAAAAAGTTTGCTCAATTTCGGGTGATCGTCTGCGCGTTTTGACGACCATATACACTTTGGACAGCTTTATTTCGCCACTGTGACGTAATTTTTTGGTGACGTAGTAAGGTGGGGGTCGGGATTAGGGAATAACATAAGCAAAAAATTGTTGAGCCAGGCCAACTAGAAGTGCATGTGGTACTAAACTATACCAGACCCGGGCATTGATGTAGGTCAACAGATACTAATGAATGTTGACACATTCATTCGGCTGTGTGAAAGTTAAGAGACAAAAGAGCAATGCTCAAATATATAGATAAAAAATGGTAGTACCGTCGTTATTCACTGATGCTATTAGTTGAAAAAATGTTTTTCAAAAAAGCAAATGGGGATATACAGGGTGTCCATAAAGTCCCTTTACAATTTCAATTTTGTTATTGAAGTCAGTTCTCAATATATTTCAACCAGGTTTGTTGTTTTTTAATCAGTAATTGTTTACCGTAAGTACTTTTACTTCATTTAATATATCTGTGAGGTGCTGAAGGCCAAAACAATATATGGTATCGATAAATTTCCTTTTCAAATTAGAAAAAATTTGGCCCACTAAAAATACAGCACTATATTAGATTTCTAAACACCAGTGATACACATGATATATAAAAAGGACGTCAATAATTATATAAGAATTTTCTAGCGAATGCAAATTATGTCATACTGTGGAACTGAGACATGGATTTCAAAGAAAGCAAAACAAAGTGTCTGTCATAAGTTTAGTTCGGCAATCATCAGTTGAAAACCCATAATGCACCAATTCATTGGGCATCATGGAAACAAAGCTAAATTAACATTACAAGAATACCATAATCTTATATCAAGAAACCTTTCGTTAGATAATAGCATAACTTCTTCAGACAAAACAATCTACAAATTATGAATGAAGTAAACAATTTCAGTTTAACTAACAGTTGGGGTGACGTGAAACTAACTACCGTTCCTTGCTCTCTATGCCTTTGTGCAGGTGGATCCGTATGCGTATAACGCAAGGATGCTATAGCAAGAGTGGAAATGACTATTCTATTTAATTCATTCACATTATTTTCAATAAAATGTCACTGAAAAAAAAAAATGGAGATTTTTATACGTATCTGTAGCGCAAGGTTTATTTGTGTCAAAATATATAAATCAAACATGACTTTAAAAAACAATCATGGCGGTGTGGCGTAGTGTAATACAATGCTATCTTAGATTATGGGTTGGCGCTAATTATACTACATACAAGCAGCAAAGTCAAAGTGGATTCAATTGAAAACCTTCAAAAAATAAGAGTATAGATAAAAAAAAAGGGTTGAAAAGAATGGCAGAGTTGATAAAATGAATGTCACACGAAAAAAAAAAATGAACAAAAATAAGGTTAAAATATAAAAAGCAAGCGTACATTTGAAATTGAAAACGTAAAAAATATAATGCACTCCTATAAGCATTGTTGCAATGAAAATTTGATATTCATAGTCATTATTCTATCGTTTATTGGTTCCCATTTTGAATATAGTGAATTACTAAATATGTATCAGGGAGGGTTTGAAGGTCGGAACCCCGAACCGGCTAGCCGTTATGATCTAACTTGGCAACTACAAATTTTAGAAACCCCATTTCTTTAAAAATTACTGGCTACGCCACTGGTATGCATCAAAATCCAGAAACAAATTATAATAATACTACATTACTACACCATACTAACATTTTTATCCAAGAAAAACTACTTTTGAGAAAATATTCTATTCAATTTACTTGTATCAGAATCCAGTATACTGTATCAAGATTGATATCATCTTGTTTCCACAAATTTAAATCTTTCAATTATGGTCTAAATTTATAAAAAAAACTTTTCATATTAAAATATTTCGCAATAAAATCATCAAAATTTTTTATTATTAAAGAAGCAAATTTTCAGAACATGTTCGATTTTCTGGTTGAAAAGACGAAAGTAATTCACGTAATCTCGCGGGCGTCGGTCCCCACTTTTCGAACCCAGCATCGTTTTGTAGAAAGAAAAGTAGAGTCCCATGTACCGATTTATGATATACTTCATTCCTGGAACAAAAAAGATAATTAATATAGTGAAAGTTTGTGAATATCAAGTTAGCATTGTGAGCTATATTAGTCAGGAAAGTGGTTTCCAAACTAAGCATAATTTTGAGCAAGTCACAAAAATATCAAACCATTCCCTACGAATTCATTTCTTATTGTTTATTCACCCATATCATGAAATTGATGATAGAAACTGTTAAAGCTGAGGCGCTCCAGGAGTGTATATACCAATATGCAATATGGAGGTGACTAATTTTGTTCGCCTACTTTAGATCAAGTTGTGTAAAGGGACTGAAACCTATGGGCAGGGGGTATATTCACCTGGCCAACACAGACAGTCCCCGGAACTCTTACTAGAACTAAAATATTCTCAGTTCAACCGAAAAGCTCAAGGAAAATCAGAATAAAATTATGGCCTAACCCTAACCTGGTACATATACTACGGGAGTACCCATTTGGGAACCTCTGGGTTAGGGTATTTGCCAAACAATATTGGCTGATAGGTCAACCCATGACAATCCTAAACTCGGGGTATAAATAACTGAGTGTATTCTGTACAAAGTATCATTAATGACAAAAGTGTAAAATTCATGAAAATAAAATATTTCCAATGTAAATTTTCTGATTTTATACTCAAATAAAGAAAAATTATGGCTATAACTTCCAATTTGCCACATCAATTCTTATATACAAAGGCCTGGTCCATGTCCATACACAATTATGGGCTCCCATGTACTTTTTGATACCAACTACCATGGCAAGTATCGAAATGCCTAGTTACATGCAAGATGACAAACTTGGAATAATGATTGACGCTCATCGGATCCTGGAGTCCTAGTGAAGTTCATACTCAAATTGGGAAATAAGCTTAAGTGCCAAAAAGAGGCATCGTATTATGATGTCATATTTGCAAATTCTAACAAAGGTTATGGTATATAAATGCCTTGTTAAAATTTCTACTTCCATTAATTGTTAACCTGGGACCTCAGCCTCCTAGGAGACCAAAGACCGGTTCTCGTATGACTGCATTAATTAACAGTAAATTAGCTACCGTAACTGCGATTTGTTAAATTTTTTGAACAAATGCATTTACTCTTTTACTTTCCTTTGTTGGTTTTTTATTACTAAACATGGCAAATAAAATAACATATGAAAGCAGTTTTAAACAGAACAAGTGCACATACTACGTTCCGATGCCCGCCACCTTGGTTCACATACTTTGGGAGTACCCACTTCTGAAGCGCTGATGAAAGTGCTACCATAGCCTACAATAAGATACGAAATCACATGAACCAAACTTACACAGGAGCTACATGTTGCAATCCACTTCTATATTCGTGTTCGAACGCAGGAATAAGAACTTGTTTTCGTTTGAATCTACTATTTTCCATGTGCAATGTGGCAACAGGAGTGGGATCTCTCCACTCTGGAACAAAAACAATAAATGAAAGAGGTTTGTCTGTTTGCGCTAAAAGTTTATCAAAATGATCGACCATTGATTCCATAAGTTCTTCAGCAAATGGTGCATTAGCTTCAAATGATCCGCTGACCGGAAAAAATTGCAAAACCGGTCTGAAATGAAGAATGTAATAATATTAAACCTCAGAAGGATTGATTATGATAGGATAGGATTTACATATTTATCCCGGGGGAGAGGAAAGTCAATAAGACGACTTGATTGTATGGCGAACTACGACCTTTCGTCCAGTTACCAGTCATGGTATGGGATTAGTTAGCCTGTTATTTGTTTTCGGAAGCATGATTTAATATTACACATTTTATCAACTATTCGTCGTTCTTTACAGTAGTAACTAGGTAAGTTTACGATGCCGGCATACATTCAAACACATAGATCGTGCTAATAACAAAACAATAATTTTATGGCCTATGGCAGGGGTGGGCAAGCTTTTTAGACCAGGGGCCAAAAATTTGGCCCACCTAGACTGGTGGGCCGTGTAAGAGTAACATGAAAGGTTACATTTTATGAACAATATTGCATTGTTACAAGCACAAAAGTGGAAAACAATAGGCCTCGTGCCAAAACTAAAGTTTTATCGCAATTTCAATTAATTCCTGAGGTATTTTTTTAGCAAAATTTGGTTTTAGTTTGGTTGTGGCAGCAACAGGCAGGCCAGATTGAATTACCCAACTAGCCGGATTTGACCCATGTAATTTGCCCATGTCAGGCTTATGGTTAGCATATGTTTTCTTTAGTATTAAGAAGATTTCACCGATCAAAATTCCTCCTCAGGAAAGTCTAACCGCAAAAAATTTTCGCCACGAAATATTCCACGCGTACAAGATTCAAACGTCACAACCGTGAAAAAGTTTTTTTAATTGATTCTTTATATAATGTCATATTTTTTTTAAATTTGTTTCAGAATTTTCTGGGTGTATTCCAGCATTACTTTTTTGTATATATCACAGGGACAGATACCTAAAGAAGGGACGTAGCCAGGAATTTTAAAAGGGGGGGATGCATGATACAGAAAAATGCCTTTTTTTACGATACAAGGGGTTCCGGCACTCAACCCCTCTCCCCTGGCCTAGAGGTTAGCAAGTTGCGTAAATCAATTTGGTCATAATTTGCTCCTATATCCCAAACTACCAACATTTAAGTCATCAAAAACAAATTTTATATTTGATCAAAAAATAATCAGACATGATCAACATAAACAATTACTAAACACATTTTGTATAATAATTACAAAGACTCCATGCATGGTCCTAACTTACCCGCTCGAACCAAAATAGGAGTCTGTATCTGTGAACGCCGAACAATAATGTTTAAAATAACAGTTCAAAGGTGAGGCAAAACATTCCATCGTAACTCCGAAGATATCATGAAGACATTTGAATACTGGAACAGGTAGAGCTCCTTGCAAGACGATACCTTCGTACTGATTCGGCCCAAACATAGTCTGAATTGAAAATCAAGTTATCAAAAAATTAAAATCAAAATTAACATTTTTAGTCAATCGTCAAATTTTCGAATTCTTGGAAAACTGATAATCATGTAAATTCAGGATATTTCCTTAGTATATTAGCCAAAGCTTGATAAACTACGAGCAACCGCTTATTGAGAAGCTGGAGTGAATTGTAGCTTGAGTATCTTTTTTCCCTCAGCTCTACCACTCTGAAACACTGATCTTTGGTAATTATTGACAGTGTTTAGGTCATTCTAACATTGTAAATTTAGTATAACCCTGATTTGCCAACAATTCCAAGGACCGTGTAAAACAGCATTTCGAAAATGCCCTGTTAAAAACTATATAACAAGACACGCTCCAAAAAAATCCTAATGTACTTATCCTACCTGGTATCTTCTTAGTAAACACCAAACCCTCGGTAAAAAATTTGACATCGTCGGATCATCATGACAACTGTGCCTGTATAATAGCTCCTAAATGAATAAAAATATTATTGAAATATTTTAAAAGGAATTTGCACAAAGCAAGGTCTCGTGCACTCACTCAGAAGTAAAGGACTCATTCTCTGAGAAAGTTAAGGGAAATCACTGAAACTCAAAGGACTGCTGAATTCATATAAAATTGCAGCATGAATATATCTTTGTCTAGACTCCAGAGCAGTGGTTTTCAACCTTTTCGGTAGAGCAGAACTGTAACGAAACAATCTAGGTTCTCGAAGCTTTTCAAAGTGCAGCAAATTTAACAATAGTGGCAAAATTAACGAGTGTTTGATAAGGTTCTAGGGTAATTCGCTGTAGGAAATTTCGCCACATAGGAAAAAATCGATGCAAGAGCATTTTGCTGTAAAACAAGTATTCGTGATAAAAACAGTTTTTGAAGTACCATTTATTTAAAAATATTCGTTATTCGAGAGCATACATACCCTAACCCTCTGAACCTAACTGTTTTCATCACAAATATTTGTTTTACAGCAAAATGCTCCTGTGGCGGTTTTTCATGCGCCGAATTTTCCTATGCAGCGAAATTTTCTGCGGCGAATTTTCCGGACACGATTTGATTATATTTAAACAATATATACATATAATAATAGACTCATGGATTTGAACGTAAAGTTGCGGAACTCTTGGAATGTATTGGCAAAACCCTATGGTAATGCGGAACCCCGCTGAAAGCCCCCGGTCTAGACTATAGAGTACAACCAAGTACCCAGATGAAAACTTTCATTGGAGAGACAAGCTCACAAACCTCAGAAGCACGCAGTTCATTATATTATCTGTAAAATAAACATGAAAGGCAACATTTCTCAGATGGAAAAGAGTTCGCATCTGGGACGTCAATCGCGTATATGATATTCGATAATATATTTTTGATAATTTATAATCATAGATGTTCAAACTTAAATCATCTGAGGCCCATATATAATCTGCAACATCAATACTTGCCAGTTTTTCCATAAATTTTCCGTTTATTCTCATTACTTCACTTTTATAGGTTAAAGAAACATGGGTCTTGTCTCTTTCTTGTGTAACCCCAGTCAATGGTGGGGTAGGGGTGATCATTTTCGTTGGAGCAGCTGGTACTAGACGAGCAGTTGGGTTCGGTTGCACAGGAATTTCTGAAAATAAAGTATCCAAGTTCAACATATTGTTTTTAAAAATATAACTGAAATATGAAAAAAAAATTTATAGAAAGAATCGTGGTAAATATTATAATTAAAGCAAAATTTATGAAACATTAATTAAAACTATTATTATACTCCATAATACCTCTAATTCACCACTTCCTCAAAGTGTCAAAGGGGAAAGGATTTTGTTTGATTTTCACAGATGTACCACGTTTAATAATAAAATAGCTAACCTCAGTATATAGCTAAAACCTATATCGCTACCTAGAAGAATGCTCATGCAGTATCTTTTTTAGAGCAATATCCGAATATTAGACGAAAATTAACATGTTTAATGAAATAATTCTATGTTGGTGTCGCAGGATAAAGATCGGTTAACACCACAACCACAAGCCTGCTGTCTCACCCAGAGTGAAATAACTTAGACCCACAATGCCGAGATAAAAAGAGTCTAAAATATAGTCGCTCTTTACACACCAGTGGCTGTTTGTACAATCTTGTCTGGAGCGATAAAACACGAAAAATACATATAAAAATGATAAAGTACCTATTTTATTTAATTGTAATAATGATGTTGCTTTGTCAAATATCTTCTTCGAGCATTCTCGAGCCATGTGGTACATTTTAATACAAATTGCCTCGACTGAGTTCTTTGCCGTTTGTGCCAGGTGGGGTCCACACTGCCGTCGTAAATGACTCAATCGATCCTGAAGAGATAAAATATAAATTTATTATAAATAATATTGACAACAAGCTACAAATAATTCTTTTTATTCAGGGTCAATAGACCTAAAAAGCATCTTTACTAGTGATGAATTGTTCCAAATGTTAGAAATACTAAATAATCGGCACTCCAGAAGTGTATGTACCAATATGGAGGTAATTAATTTTGTTCGCCTATTTTACATCAAGTAGTGTAAATGGACGGAAACCTATGGGCAGGGGTATATTCACTTGGCTAACACAGACAGTCCCCAAACTCGTAATAGAACTGAAATAAGGAAAACCGGAATAAAATTATTGCCTAATCATAACCTGGTACACATACTACGGAGTACCAAATAATCTGCCTAAAAGACACACCCCCCAATTATATTATTGATATTTTCCCAATTAGGTGGCTGGATTCGCAGAGTGTTTATGCATGGAATTGTTTATGTCATTATATTTCTATTTCAGAAACTTACTAAATAGTCTTCCAATAATGCATTCTGTTCTTTTCTTAACCAGGAAAATGTTTCTTCTGTTTGCCATTTCACTTGTTTCCTACTTTCTGCTGTTGTATTTCTAAAAAATAATATAGTTGCAACAAATATATCACTTGAATACAGATCATAATATTTCAGTAAGAAAATGACCATAGAAGAATGGAGGATTCTATCTGTAACCAATACTAGAGTAAAAACAGAACAGATATTATTTAACAGTCAGGTTTTGCCAAATTGATCTTGAAGGTCTAAAGCTAGGGTTCAAACTCTTGCATCTCATATTCTTATCTCAAAAATATTCTAGTTCAGGGGGTGCAAAATGTTTTGTCGGTGGGCCATATAACCAACTTCAGGAATCGAGCCAGGCCAAACAATTGATTCAGCGGGAAAGACAAGAGAAGAAAATGCGACTATCGCTTAGCCTCAAAGCAACGGGCAGAGCGAAAAGGCTTGGTAGGCCAGGTTATGGCAGGCGACCTGCCTGTTGCACACCCCTATTCCAGTCTTGTTGGACATTTATCGATATTGTAATTTGAGGTAAAACAAAAGTTGACTAAGTTGGTCTTCTCAATCGGCGAATTAGAAAAGACTTACGCAAGGGTTAGTTTTTGCGGTCAAAATTAGGTTAGCTTGAAGTTGGGAGTTAGAGACAAAGATGAAATTTCCCTCAAGCGGAATCAGAAACGAAATTTTTTGTGTCAATCAGTAATCGGAAGTCATTTTTGAATGACTGGGTTCTGGTTCATTTAAAACAGGGATGTGCAACAGGCATCTCGCAAGCCATAAACAATTTGTGTGATGCCACTTGTCAACAACCAGATTTTTCCCCATATTCTCTCCTCTTGCCTTTCCCGCGCTGCGCTGGTTGTTGCTAGTTTTCAAATCAGTTGTGTACATGGAAAAATCCATTTTTTTTGTGGCATAGCTAGATGTCTGAAGTCAGTTATATGGCCCACCGTCAAAAAATGGTGCACACATCTGATCTAAAATATTAGTTCCTCACACTTCAGTGGCTATGTTTCTTGTGAAGATGTGAAAACACATATAAACAATCTCTCAAACAGCTTACTTACCTAGTTTCGATCATTTTCTTAGCAGCTTCTGCATAACAAAACAGTTGTTTTCTGGCATCAGATAAATATTTAATTCTTGATAATCGAATTGGAATATCATGCATAATTTCTCGATACATCGATGGTGATACCTGAGGATGAAAAATACTACAATATAATTTTCATAGAAATGTGTTAAATACTAAATTATAATTTTATAGAAATATGTTACAGGGTCACGTAACGAAAGACGTTCCATGTACTGGAGAATCAGTATGTCCATGTGATCTGTGTAACAAGAATGCTTAAATAAAATAAGTCGAAAGTTTATAGCAACGAAAGAGCAGAATTCTATTTCGCATATCACAAATATGACTGGGCTAGACTATTAAATAACCCCAGAGTATCACATTTCATTAATTATATTAATGAGTCACCATTTCACGAAGCATTAGATAATATATATAGAGGGAATATGCTAGTTCAAGCTCGAAAAAACTTATTGAAGATCAAAATATCACGGCACACTATGTGCCCACAGACGTGCAAACGATTCCTTTTATGAATCATGATTAGAAGCTTTCAAAGTTGTTTATTTATTAGTCAAAAAAATAAATTATTATCACAAATGGAATTCATATTATAAACCCTGACAAAAACATTAGACAATAGCGACCTCCTTTGCAAGTATTCCAGAATTAAATGAAAATATTTACTAAGTTTATAATAAATCGTGCACATTACACTAACGAATTTTTGAACCAAATGTATTGAATTTATGACAATATTGAATGATACATTAAAATAAAGTCACTACCTCCACAGGACAATCAGTAGGAAGCATTGGATCTCTTCCTCTGTCTGATACTTTCCTTTCTAATATCCATCTGTTAAATGATTCATTTGGTGCATCGATACCTAATACAACGATTTAAAAAAACAATATGTTAGTTTTTATATTCATTTATTTATTTATAATAACTTGAGCAATTGCTACAATAGTACACTAATGTTCTGCGCATGTCTGATTATTAAAAAATATTTCTGCGAAAAACCCAAGAATTATATTAATAACCGATACCATTGGTATTCAAATAAGATAGCATTATAGGTATTCGAAATTTGTTTTCAAAAATCAAAAATCCATCATTTTTCTCAAAAAAATGATTAAGTGAAGATTTACATAATATAATTTGGCATAATTTCTGGCAAATTAGGTCTATGTATTCAAATCAAACATAATCAGGATAATTCACACAGCTATGTTAAAATATTCAAATATTCTAAGCCATATTGCCATCATTCAAGGATAATATGCAGACTGACAATTGTAATGAGATTAAGGTAGACCCAATCAATAGGTATAATCGTGCCTGGTAGAATTTAGCATTTCAGCATCTGCCACCTGCTATTATGATAATGAATGACAATAATGGAAAATATACAAATTGATTTTTTGTCATTGTTAGCATGTGATAAATTTGCCATACAAAATACAGAGATGGCAATATCGATTCCGTTTAAATTTCAAATTTTCAAGAAAATTACAAATACAATACGCCATCAAGTCCATGCATCAGAAAACAAATACCTGGCTAAATATTCCTATACCCGACATGGACAGGTAACAGGACGAGAGAGGGAGTGGTTCGCCATATGATTAAGCCGTCTTATCGGTACTCCCGTAGTATGTGTACCACGTACCAGGGTAAGTTTAGCTCATAATTTCATTCCTATTTACCTCATTTTTGGTTCCATTACGAGTTCGTAAACCGACTGTGTAATCCAACTGAATATACCCCCTGCCCATAGGCTTCATTCCCTTTACACAACTTGATGTAAAATGGGCGAACAAAATTAGTTACCTCCATATTGGTACACATACTTCTAGAGCGCGGTCTTATCAGCTTTGATAAATATGCAAATCCTATCCTAACCCCAGCTGATAATTATGTTATCTGCTTAGATATGAGCGTTTCTGTAAAGTTGTGTAAATATATGACCTATGAACTAACAATATGAATCAAGACCACCTTCTCGTGAATGACACATATCTTGATAATGTTGACGAAGTTGATTTGTTAAAGTTGCACGAAACTGTTCCACTTCGGGTATAGGTGGAGCTAAATTACATGGAGCACTCTCCATCACCATGACGTCAGTATTGATATCAAAGTTCCAGTAGCATCTGTATGGTAAAAATAAAAAAAAATTAAATAAAATATAACGTAAAATATATGATATACCGGTAATTGCCAAAAAATATACAACTTCATGACCTTTCAATAAGGAAGGAAGCCGTCAACCAGGAACTAAAAATATTATTGATAGAAAAGTTACAATGACCACCTAAAAATAGACTTTTTATGACTTCTGTTCCAAACAATTTAAAAATTAAAAATCAATCAGAGCTCGTCTCAGACTCTCAGTTAAATTAGCAAATCCAAATTCTCTGGATTTACAGTAACTTGTTCAAATTTCCCAGTTGAATATGACGCACGATTTGAAATATATTGATGAACATTTCATAGTTGTAAATATTGCCAATTCAATAAATCAGTTATTCAGTTTCGGCCATCTCTGATTATGTATAAACCAGTGTTGTCTTGGTCTAAATCACAGTTTAACCTGGAATTTTGAACAATAACAGCCCTATCAAAGAAGAATTACACAAAGTGGAAATATTGATAAAAGTTTTAAAACAAAAATTTTATTGATCTCTGCAGTGAATAGATGATTACTGGTAGTAAATCTAATATATCAATGGGAACGTGTGCGATTCCATAACACATATTTCCATATTTAGAAAGACACAAACACAAAAAAGACACAGATTTCAATTACATAAAAATTGAAACTAGAATAAAATTGTTCATAAATATTGTCTATAACAGTTACCTATATAATGCTGTTATTATTACAAAATAAAGACTAATGCCATAATTTAAAATTTGCAAATTAGTACAATGGACTAAATGTATATATAACCTCTGTATGTATAACAGGTTACAAATGTCTTGCAAATAAGAAGAATGTTCTGGTCTTTTCTCATTACAGTATTCAAAAATATAATATTCAACACACTATCAATCCCCTGCAAACATCCCCTTCCTTATCCAAAAAGTAATTAATCATTCATTTAATCAATATAATCATGTACAAAACATGATATATGTATCCTGAGTAAAAACGAGGCTGTTTCCGATTTGTCAATATAAAACAAAATGCCAAAAAGGCTACAATAATATACAATAGGAAATGCATGTCTACAATGTAAGCAAGTGTAAACTTCATATACTTATTCATTGATGACAAAAATCATGTACTAGGTTAATTATAAAAATATGTAAATGTGATTCATAGATCTTACTGTTGGACTGATTGGACTACTCACAAATTGAGAAATGTTAAAACTTCAAATATGGCTGCAGGAAAACGAAATCAGCTTATATCATAATAGGCCTATACATTTTTCAAAAATGGATTTGTTTGACCTTCTGTCTAACGAACCTTCTAATTAACTAAGAGCCATTTTCATTCTCGGTTTCAAAGCTGTATCTGTTATAGTTTTAAGTCAGGTAGTGTCTTATGTCCACTTTTAGGTTTGGTTGTTAGAACCAAACTATTACAAAAATGCTCAAAATCTAACATAACCTCATCTGTGGCAATGATGCATAAAAAATTGTATCTACCAGTATGTATTATTTTTTTATGTAGTAATGCTATCAGCAGGCTTATCATTGTTATTCTTTACGGTTACAATGGAAAAAATGATAAAAAATTAAACTTTGAAAGAGTAAGTAATCAACACAGATTGTTAAATTGATCTGCATGCAGTCGTGGATTGAAGTTAATAATTTTATTTTTTTTTAAATTTATTCTGTATTTAATTCTTCGTAAAACTAATTGTATATTTGCCCTGTTAGCATATTCTTTGTGATACTCAAAGTAAAGCCATGTCACGATTTTAAAATCTAGCTGAATGCAAAAAATCGCACCTATAATTTGAAATAATTTCTGGTATATTTAAAAGTGAAGTAAAAATGATTGTTTTGTATTACTACAGTCCGTAATTTTATTTTGCGACACTAAAGGCACTACATACCGTTTAGTTAGTATTTGAACATATTCTAGGGTTGCAAGATTGCAACAAATTTTATTTTTAAAAACTTTTGGCCTCTTGAAAAAAGTTGGAAACAAGCATTCTAGAATACCTAAGATTTGACAAATAGGCATGCATAGACTTCACCACTCCATAAAACTATTTGATGTGTGGTATAATTAGTATTTTAATATAGTCTTTTATTTGTTCAGGCAACAGAAAGTTTGAATATTATCTGAGAAAAGATTGGCAAAACAACATAAAATGATATCAAATCAATCAAGATCATAGAGAGTTGTGAAGAATTGTCATTATTGAATGACATTTATGATCGAAATATTTATAAATAAATTACAAAATAACATGATGCTTCAATCAAACATCATTTATGTTGTCCGTGCTGTAATTTAATATAAATGATTTATACCGAAATATCGCATATTGAGACTATTTCAGTACTGAAAATAACAAATGTTATGTATTATTCACTCAACTGAGCTATGTTAAAATTGCCTAGTCTTGTGTATTGAGTACACATAATTGGTAGGAACAAAATTTCATCAGTTTTTACTGAATTTCGTTCAGGTCTTTTTCAAAAACGGAGCTGGTCCAAATTTAGAGATGTGTAACTGGTATCGCCAGCATAGATAAGTCCAATGAATAGAACCACTAGGTCATCTTGCCTCATAATAAAGATACTCACTCAAGCTTCGGTTGTTTGTTACGAGATACTCCATTCCATGTTTCATCAATAGATCTTCTCTTTAAAGAAACAGGTTGAGATTTATTATCGGGTGAAGCAGTTTTTGTTGTTGTTGCAGAAGATAAACCAAGAGGATCATTCTAAATATAAAATATACTTCGTTATAGAGATTTTTGAAATTTGTCAAAACGACCCAAAAAGTTTTAATTGAAGTTTCAAAATTTAAACATTTATTGATTCTGTCAATTTGATTCCTAGATTAAGACAAAGCATTCATTCAAATACCAATCCTCATTCACAAAACTTGAAATTCCCTTCTGAAAAAATTCAAAAATAAAAATAACATAACAGCCAAGATAGGGGCCAAATTATCAACTTGAAAGCTACAACAGTTGAGCTTATTAACAGAAAAAATAACAAGTCAAGCCAAAATAATTTTCTTTGAGTCAGATTTCAAGTGTGAAATAGTAAGGCAATTGCATGTGATGAGGCTGTCTAATGAAAACCATCAAGAGTTCCAAACCATGATGTCACCTTGTCACTCATAACACTCACTCACAAGCATAAAAGCCTGCCCGCAAATTGTAACACGCTGTACTCACCTATCACAAAAAACGATTGCAGAAAGAATTAGTGCGATCAGAGTTATGCGCCTATAAGCCGTCCCCCTTTTTTAGTTTTAAACTCAACTTGTGGATATGGGGGGACATACTTGGGCAAGTATATCTATGATTCAACCCCACTTAGCTGTCAAGCATTACTATCTTACCAATGGAGCAGCACCAGTTGGACTTTTCGGAACTGCCATCCCCGCTTGTGCAATTTGTGGCATGTCCCACAATGATTGGTTGGTTAATTTATTGAAAAAATAATATCGATTTCTCTTTGGCTCCAAAACATTCTCCATCCTGCCTGCACCAATACTTCAGGCATTCCAGTTGTACCTTGAATAAAGAAATTAATTTCAAAGATTGAACATATAGAGAAAGATAATTCAAGAGCTTTTTGGACATGTCATTCTAATACACTTTAATTCAAGTGAGTTTATTGATTTTTGTATGGAATAAAATGGCTCTCTATGAAGAAGATAATTCAATAGCGACTCGGACCGTATATCCATCCCTAACTATAACTCAACTTAAGAGCTTTTGCAATTCCAAGTTACCACCCAGACCTTGTCAAAAACATAAATTATAAAAATATAGCTATGCATGTTTTATTTGGGACCCTGCTACGTTTCGGCAGGAATTTCATTAATTTTTCTAATAAATCTGTTGTTAGAACTCCCAAATTTACTTCATAATATATTCTGGAATTTTTTAATACTCAAAACCAAAAGCATATATATTCCAGACAGCAAAATCTGATTAAAACACGAATGATATAGTTTAGTCAATGTTTCGAATGTCTATAGATACAAACTTCATAGGGAAATGGAATGCATTTGCTTCTTCCTACTTGTTTTCCTACGAATGAGCATGGTATTAACTCAGTTTTGTGGACCAGGCGACCAGGAGTCAAAAATTTTGCCCACCTAGACTGGCGGGCCATGTAAGGGTGACATAAAAAGTTACATTTTATGAACAACATTTACAGTGTTACAAAAGCAAAAGTGGAAAACAAGGAGCCTCGTGCCAAAACTGAATTTAATCACAATCTCAACAAATTCCTTGAGCTATTATATAACTTAAAATCAAAATTAGGTGGTATTTTGGTTGTGGCAGCATCAGGCGGGCCAGATTGAACTACCCAAAGGGCCGGATTCGGGCCGCGGGCCGCATTTCAAAAGCTCAAGTTCAAGTTAATCCTACCCCGATCTAGTAAACGCACATAGCAGCATAATTTACTCAAGATTACAATTAGATACTCGTGTTGCAATGTGTACTTATATTAAACCATTTCCGATCGCGAGTATGTACAAAGATATTATAGAACTGTTTCGTAATGTTATTATAAGCAAACGTCATTCAGAACGATAAGGTCATACGGTTATGTTTACACTTATAATCAGCAATGTTTATTTTCTGTTAGGTCTATCACAGGGCAATTAATGATTGATATAGCCATAGTATTGCATAAAATAAACTTAATAACATGTGGAAAATTACTTCAAATTTTTTTTCAATATTGTGCAATACAGATAACGGATAATAATAACGTTCCTGTACGATACAGCTTTTTAACATGATGTAATGAAGCAAGACTGATTGCAATTAATTTGATTTCATGTTAACAGTGAATTTCAAACATTTTTTGAAAATTAGAACATGCTCCAATATTATATATACCCTTGGTTTGGATAAATTCAAGTTTTATTAAATAATATTAATTTCTAAATTTACCTTTTTGAATATTTAATTGAAATTATGATTTCACTATTCATTTCTAATTTGCTAATTCAACTAGTACCGGATCACAGGCAAGAACCTATGATTATAACTATAGGATTGAGCATTGTTATCAGCTTTTCTCCACCAGTAGATAAACATGAAAAATCAATATAAAATCCCTATTATCTCAATTCTAAAACCTTAGGATTCACATGAATATCCCACGGAAGAGGAAAGTCGATCTCGTCCGGTATGGGATTAGTTAACCAGTAATTTGTTTTTAGAAGCATGGACTTGATGGTTGAGGAAGCAGTCAGCTGTCTACTCTACGGCGGCCGAATGTATTCCGAACACTTAGCATGATGTACCACACCGCAGGGCCCCTATTTACAAAAATGAATATTTTTGTATATTAATTTTCGATTTGTAGAAATAGATTTTTGATAAGGTTAGTTTGAATAGTTCACTGAAGTGCCATAACATTTCAGCAACCATTATGAAAAGCATCAATTCTGCCATGAATTCATAACGTGGTATTATGAAGTTTGAAAAAATATGAAAATATGCATGAGATTACTTACATTCACAATAAATTAACATCTTCCAATATGCTTCAACCAAGAAACAAAGGGTCTCGTGTAGTTTCGTACCTAGTAGGGGTAAAATAACAATTTTTTGACATGCCAATCCTAACCCTCACCTGACTACGCCATCTAAAAATTATTTCACTACGACGTCACAATCACGTCATAGAGCTTGCCAAATACTCGTACGATCGCCCGAAATGGCATCGGCGCCGACGATAAAGAACTGACTAACGTCAGCGATCTTTCTCCTATCGGGATTGTTGCGACGAGAAAACGAGAGAAATGGTTGTTCGATTTCGGGTTCTCGTCTGCGCGTCTTGGATGACATTTCGCATAGTTTGAAGGGCTCTATTACGTCACTGTGGCGTCGTAGTGACATAATTTTTGAATGGTGTGGTCAGGTTGGGGGTTAGGATTGACACATGAAAAAATTGTCATTCTACGCCTACTAGAAGTACGTTAGGTACGAAACTACATGAGACCCGAAACAAAAATGATGCCAATATTATGTAAACTAATATAATATTGAAATTTAGATGGATAAATTGTCTGAAATATTGTTGAAATTGCCTCTTCGGTATAGGGACATTCGGTTTCTGTACAAACAGCAGGTTTATTACAAGTATTGAAAAATCAAAATACCTGGAGACGGGCATGAATTTTGTCCTGACACATTTACAGCAGGCGTAGACGTGGAATCTAGTTGTGGATGTGAATTATTGTCACTTTCTCTTCTTGTTTCTGGTGGAATCTGTTGTTGTAAAATATTAAGATTTTATTGAGAACTGGTAGCAATATAAAAATTGGTTCATCCTGTTAATTAATTTCAGATTTTTGACATTCTGAATAGATATATTATGCCGTAAAATCATAATTAGTGTTAAAATTGGTTAGTACCGTGGTAAGGTTTGACAAAAAAATGGCTTTGTTTTTGAGTTGAACTAAAACTTTCAACTTAGTGATTATAGAAAAGTATGCAAAAAATGAAACATTTTCCATTTCAAGCTGCCCCATACCAAACAAAGGAACACTCACTTCGATCGCCCGCTCTTTTGCCTCGTTTTCTCCGATCGCTCTCATGAATTCCTGATCCACAAAATTCTCCATTTCTGGATTGGATAGGTAGCCATCACTATCTGATATGTTGGTAACCTTGATGCCTACATCACTATTCGCACCTTCCGAATCCATGCAGCTCATTTGGAATACAGCAGAACAACTAGAAAATTGAACAATTTAGGGAAACATTAAGCTGAAATCGACGTGCCAACCGAACAGCAGAACAACAAAACAAGAACTCGACTCGTCCAGACCAAACCCGCATACAGCAAAGCAAAACAAAAACAGGTCGCATTGCAATGCTGCAAATATCTATATACCATGTGATGGGGGTAGAGAGCAACAATATTCAAAGGCAATCAAGGCAATGGACATTTCCCCGACCTTTGAACTCCGAAAAAGTCTTTCCATACTTTACCATTGCAAAATTTTCGGGGCTTATTTTAAGAGTGGTTTCGCGAGTTTGCGCCTGTAAAATTTGTACCAAACCATCATTATGATTCATCGCATACAACAATCTGTTTTTTAAAAGTACTGGTAAAGAATTTTACCCTAGTCTATCACAGCTATTTCTACACTAATTTTTTATTACTGCAATTAAATTAAAACTCCCAAGACGACAGAGTGATCATTGAATTATCTGATTTATATTTAAATTTCTGAAACACAACTGAAAACTAATGAATAGAGTTCAAAAACGCGAAAAGGAGGTAATGTTTAGGACCACGCCTGAAAATCTGTCTGAGCGTAAATATATACTGGTCTGAGTGAAAAAAGTGTCTGAGCGGATGCGAACGGGAGCATTGTCACTTTTTGCATCTTGCTGATTGGCCAATGTCACGAAGTAAACAAGGAAGTTGATGCTCGGGGAAAGGTTCATTAAGATATAGTTGAAGTAAATATATATTTAAAAAAAACATCTTCTTCAGATATCAATACAACATAGATATATTTTTCAAAATAAACCCAAATGGGATTGGAAAGATGCCATGATAAACAATGCCATGTAACAGAAAGATGTGATTTGGTTTGGGTATATAAAGTACTAGATTTGTTACGGTGTTACCCAAAAAATTAGTGCTTATGGACACAGTCGTCAGCAATATTTTCATTGCATCATCGATAATTTTTTTTAATTCAAAAGAAATTGATGATTATGGAAACTTGGTTCGAATGCCTCGAGAAAAAGCATTTTAGCCGTTAGGTGGCGACACTGGCCAACAAACTGACCAAACCGGATTTTTGCATCCCGCCCTTCTTTCGCTGACCTTCGCTTCGGAGGAGGTCGGGCCCTGCAGCGTGGGAATTGGGAAGTTCAGAAGTGGGTAAGTTTATAATAATTCGTTGACTTATTTATACATGGAGATGGTAAACATAGTTTGACTAAATTGTCGTAGTTATAAGATATTAAGCGATTTAAATAACGCACCCACAAACAAATATTTTTGCGACTTTTCTGCAAGAAGTTATGCTCTCTGCAATCGGTTTTACTCTGGTAGTCTATACTGCACTTCCTTGCAGTTACAGACCTACTGTGTCAATTTATAATGAGTTGTGTTAGCAAATTAGTTTCATTACCAGTTGCATCATTTGTATGTTAAATAGTGCCTGGGTGCTTCCGAAATTTCTGAAGAATATTGTGAACTTTCATACTGCAGTACTGATTTCCATACTTGAAGTCAAACTTAAACTGTTGTTGCTACTATCAGTAGATCAATTTGAATATTTTATTGCATTGAATAGTGTAAGATATTTTACACACTTTGCGATTACTACAAGTTGATGTCATTTACGGATTTACCAATGATTTTCAAAACGTCAATCACTTGAACCAACACCACCCCACCAAATACACTTTAAAATCCTACAGCAAACATAAAAATAAATTTATCTAAATAAGCAGCAGCAGATCTTTCATTTAACACTAATTTGACAAGAAATAGGAGAGATAATAAGCTGAAACTGTGCACAGTCTCGGGGTGCTTCAGTTTCATCTAGTCGAGAAGCGGGATTTTCAATATTTGTTTCATTTTCGTTGGTGGTTTTGCAAAAAGACCTAATTGACTAGTAATATCAATCATTATTAGTAATCTGTCAAGATTGTAGTTTTCGCACAGCAGATGCTAAATGTTAAACACCTTGTTTTAGCAGTCTGGTAGTTCGCTTGAAGTTGGTGTATAATTCTAATCCTTAGGATATACCGTAGCAGTAGATCATGCACTATAGATAAGATTTTACATTATAGTGCGAAAATTATAGGTATAGATTTTAGGGTCTCATGTTGGCAGTCTCAGTTGGCAGTCTCAGTTGGCAGAACATAACAATTTTTTTACATGTCAATCCTACCCCCACCTGACTACGCCATCCTAAAATTACGTCACTACGACGTCACAATCATGTCATAGAGCTTGTCAATCCTAATCCCACCTGATTACGCCATCCAAAACTTATGTGTCATAGAGCTTGTCACAGTATAACTACGATCAGACGATCGCCCGAAATGGCATCCGCGCCGACAATGAAGAACTGGCTAACGACAGCAACGAGAGAAATACCTTGCTTGATTTTGGGTGATCGTCTGCGCGTCTTGGATGACAGTTCGTATAGTTTGAAGGGCCATATTATATTAGTGGCATAATTTTTGGGTGGCATAGTCAGGTGGGGGTTAGGATTGACATGTGAAAAAGTTCTTAGAGCTACGTCCACTAGAAGTACGTTACGAAACTGCACGAGACCCAGAATTTAAAGTACAGAGGATGGAGTTGATCGCAACTAGTAGACCAACCGGTGATAGTTTACTTTTGAAAGTATCACAAGCTAAGGACTATTAGTATAATTTTGTGCCAAAAAAAGATGGTAGCACAATATCTAAATACCTGTCTATAGTACAATAGTAGGATTTCACAGCTAATGAACACTGAATTGACTGTTGCAAATCATCTTGAAAATAAAAATTTCATGCAAAATATGGCATCACAATATCGAAGTCTTCAAATTTTGTTCACTGGGCATCATTGAAAACCTCTGGAATTCTCAAAATAGACCCCACCAATAAGAGTGTTCTTATAAAGCCATGAGCAGTTTTCTAAATTTCGACAGTAAAAGGTAACAGCTTCAGATCAGAAGTGTGAACCCATAGAATGTCCTTTGCACATTAAGTTTTTCTGTTCTCCAAATTTCTTCTTTTATTGAGGTCTAGATTGGTAGTTTTTGACTGTTTTTTTTTTAAACAAAAATGACTTTGTAGGGTTGTAGCATTTGATGCATTAAAGTAGCATTCGCATCAAAGAAATTAGTATCTTTGTTTTGGCGTTACTATCACAATGTTTGAAATGGATAGGATCTAGTTGAAAATAATTCAATTTACTTCAAATCCGAATTTAATATAATCAAAAGCTTTTACATTTTAGTATTAATGAGGGCAAATTTTATACATGGCTTCGCAGCAATAATGGCAAATTTTACAGAAATGGACAATCATAATTGGGTATTCTCGAAACTAAATAGCACAGATGTGAATTACAGTTGTTAGTTTGGCAGGCAACAAAAATTTCTTTTTTCATAATTTGCTTTCATGCTAATCTCAAATTCAATTCTCCAGCAAGCAGAAACTGGTGATTTCTTGAAACATTTTTTGCTTCAAATTACCTGTCAATTGTCATGCTACTGCTCAATTGCTTTTCGCACTTTTGTAAACTTTTAAGATTGTTATTATTAAATTTTTGCTCCATTAAATCAGCAGCCAAAACTACTGTGTGAAAATTTAATTTACTTACCACCTTATAGCAAGACTAAAGCCAAAACTTTAACTCCATCGAATTAATTTTTTACACTATCTTATATGTTCAGACAAACTTATTCTTCAAGCCGAAACTGTTTTTTTTTTTAGGCCTCATGTTCAAACTTGTTCTTTTTTAACGTATGTGCGTTGAAAAAATAATTTAATGAAGCTTACAATATCATTAAGGGCAATTGCAAAGTAATACTTCAAGGAGTTTACATCAAGATTGGGTGTTCAATATTATGCATGGCTAAAGAAATTTTTTTGAACCGGCCGTTATTTTTGTTCTGAAATACCTCAAACAGTGAAACCGTTAATGATTTTTTGCTTCATATTCACAGGTGTTCATTTGTGGAAAAAGGGTTGATACTCCTTGTTTATATTCATAAAAACCATACACATTATGACATTATTCACATTTGTTTAAGCATTTTCTGCATAATTAGCTTTAGAATGGTTTTTTTCTTAATTAGGTAAAATATGGCATGGTTTATAATCCTACTGAACCAACTGGATTATCGATTTATAGTGTAATACACATTTTCTCCATTCATGGTTCTTTTATTACTGTTGATTGGATCCTTATAATGACATGCCCCACTAATTTAGTTTCCTTGCATAATTATGTCAAAGCTTATGGTGATTTTGCTATGCAAATTCATTGAAAATTTCACAGTTCATTACATTCATTTTTTCCTGTAATGGAATTGGTCTCTTATATTCTCAGAATGGAAGGTTTTTACCAGAGGCTATTCAAATATGTTAAAATTGTACAGTCTGTTGTGAGTATCCTTATTGTATATATAGGAAAGTGATATCTAATTTCCATTTAATGTATGGTGAAAGTTACAACTGGCTGTAGCTATATCAACCGAATTGAATACAGGCGGAAAATGAAAATTCAATCGAGGAAATGGTCCTTCAAGCAACACCGTGTGCTGTCGATTCATCCATCACATTATTTGCTATCTGCTACCCTCCTATTGTGATGGTTTCAAAGTCTGTTACCGTCGCAGAAAATCGATTTGAAGCCCACGCTGTAGTATTGAGGACGCGACATGAATAATTTATCCTGGGATGTGGGCTGAGACCCAGCGCGGCGATTTAGGACACTGTATTAGACGTGACGGTAACGACTGAAAAGCCTGCCGAAAATTCAGATGAACTGCAGTCTAATAAAAAAAATATTTTATTTGACACAATTTGTTAGGAGGACAGTTTGGTTTCTACGCGGGTTGCCATATTGTAAAGCTAATATTAAAATCACAATAAATTTTCGCTTTCGGAATTTTAATGAGGCCATATTCATGCGGGAGGCCCATCACCCGCTGCTACGCTTCTAGCGACGCGACAAAAAGCGGGAGTGGTGTAGTCGAGCGTGACCGATTGTCCTTCAGTTTTCAAGCACACGCCTCTTGAACGAATTTCAGCTGTGCAGAAGACGTGTAGTATTGCGCTGCTGTATTTCGTAAGCGCATAGTTATTTGTGCGTTATAGCCTTTAGGGAGTTTGA